CCTCCTGTCCCCTCCTGTCCCCTCTTGTCCCCTCCTGTCCCCTCCCGTCCCCGCCGGTGCCGGGGTGGCCGCGGGAGCGGGAACGGAGCCGGGACAGCCCCGGGCAGGCAGCGCCTGTTCTGAGCCTCAGAGCTGCGGGAGGTGAGGGATGAGGATGGGAGGGATGAGGATGGGAGGGATGGGGACAGGACGGATGGGGACAGGACGGATGGGGACGGGAGGATGCTGAGACCCTGGCACAGGGTGCTCAGGGCAGCTGTGGCTGCCCCTGGATCCCTGGAAGTGCCCAAGGCCAGGTTGGATGGCGTTTGGAGCAATCTGGTAGAAGAAAGTGAATCATTCATTCTGAGCACCGTAATTCGGCCTCGTCTTTCGCCAGAGGCTTTTAAAGCGTGGTTGAGCCATCAGAGAGTGAAGTCTGATGATAATGACACAAATCTGGGACAGTGTTACCTCCAAGGACCAGAGAGACGTGGATCAAACACCCGAGCCAAGGCCAGACCAGCAGAGATCCAGCCCCAGAAAATACTGACTTGGGCTGTCCAGGTCTTTTCTTGCAACCAGATTTTATTTCCTATAAGCCCATTATCAAAACAGGGATCAACCTTCTCTGCCATGGAAGTGGCCTTTGAGTAGAGTCAGTTTGAGGTCTGGGATGACACCGAGCCCTTTGGGCTCTGCACAGCAAAGCTGAGATGTGGAAATCCTCCCAATATCCTTGCACAACAAAAACCCACAAGATCCATGATAAATGTATTTCCTTGTGCTTGCCAGTTTGCCACAGAGTATGGAGGGGATGAAATGTGAAGGCAGATCCACTTTTTTTCTGCTCTTAATGAGAATCTGTTCACTTTGATGAGCATCAAATCTCTCTCTGTTAATTGCTGTCAATAGAAGTGGAGATTAATCAATACTTCTATGAATCAATGCCTTTATCAGGCACCTCTGGAGAAATGAAATAAGAGGAAAAGTCACAGTACTGGCAGAGCCTCAGGCATGGAGTTTGCACAGTCGCAAGCGTTCCCTTAATTACAGGCTGCATTAATTAATGTTGGGCTGTAACTTATTAAAAGGTCATCTCAGAGTCGTCACATCCTTAAAAACTTAAAAAAACACTTTAAAAAATGCGCTCCCGTGGCTGAATATTTGCAGGAGGGGCGAGGATAAAACAAAACGTTCCTTCCAGATCTCCTTGGAGCCTGCTCAAGACATTGTGCTGAGCTTTCCCCCTGGCTGCTTTCCTTGCAGGAACACATTCCATAGGCTGGTTTTCCCTCTCAGGTGATTTGCAAACCTTGGAAGGGCAGGATTGCACCAGGAGGGGAGCAAAAGGTGGCTCCTGCTCCGTTTGCTCACTGGGGGAGCTTAACCTGCAACGGGGAGGGATAAAGGGCTTGGCTCTCCAAACAGGAGCAAGTTCCAACAAGGAAAATTCCAGTTAATTGGTGCAAGGAGCGTTTTCACAATGGGGGAAGTCTGACACTGCAATGGGAGGTTTGGAATCCCTTGGAGATGCTGGAGTTGGACAGGACAGAGGAGCTTGAGAGGGACCTTAAAGCTCATCTTGTTTCAGCCCCTTCCATAGCGCAGGGAGCTGCTGCTGTTCCGTGTCCCACCAGGCCAGCTCCAAGCTGGAGTTCCAGAACTGCAGCCTGATGGTTGGACTTTAAAAAAATAAAAAGGTTTTTAACTTGTTTTCGGTGTTTTCTCACCAGTTCCTGGCAGGAGAAATGATGCTGTCCATGGGAATGGCATGGAAAGGATTATTGGGGTGTATTTTCTCCTGGTATCCATCAGCTATGTTTATTTCTGTGATTTAAAATACAAGAACACAAGAGAGGAACAATTTCTCCATTTGTATTTGTAGTTATCTTTATTTCAGTTAAGGAGCAGTTCAAATCCACCTGTCACAACTGAAGTTATTTTTACAGTATTCCATTTATTCCTGTTATTTTTACAGGTATTTCCATTGATCCAATTTCTGTCTGATTTATTTGGTGGCGTGAAAAATCACATACAGCCTTTAAATTAACATTGTTCAGCAATTAACTTCTTTCTTTCTTTGGACCAACAACTTTGTAGAGAACAAATAATGCAACACAACAATAGAGGTAAAATAGGGATTTGTTTTTCAAAGGCATTCACTTTCTTGTGTGTGAATTTCTCCTAAAATATCTTTCATTTCTATAGATTTTCTTTTAAATGGTAGGAATTTCTTTTTGAATGACAAACTGAATTCATTTTACTACCAGCTGAGGTCATCATAAAACAAGTTTGGTTTATTTTCCACACTCTCCACTGCTTCAGGAGAAAAGCAGGAGGGGGGGAAAAAAAGCAAGAGAGAGTTGAGAAACCTTCAAAAGCAGAGATTGATGAGAACTCTGTGGAGATTTTGGTGACCTCTGTGTCAGGCTGGAAAATCAAAATATTTCTCCCACCTCAGGCAGTTTGGGACCTGTGGTTTTTGTGGTGAACCCAGAATGGCTGAAAAGCAGCTTCATGTTTATTCATCATGGTTTTTTGTGAAAGGACATCGGTGTGTCCTGACCCTGGATCTTCCTTCTCCTCACTTGGCTTATTTTTTCTGATTATGGTTTTCATCCCTCTCCTCCTGAGCATCTAAAACATCTGGGGAAAAAACTGATGTGAATTCAGCTCTGAAAGCATTTAGTGCTTCTCAGAGAGGAATAATTTCCTTGCACACTTCGAACCAGCTTTGTTTTATGGGAAAAACTGGATTTTGGAGCTTTTTTGATTTATTTTTTATTTATTCAGTTTAATTTTTTCCCCCCAGTCCCCTCTCTGCAGAAGTGAAATATTCACATTTTAAACTTCATCACTCAGATTCTCAGTCCCTGATGGAGATGGGAATTTGGTTACAGTTCATCCCTTTTCCAGTCCCCAGCTTTGGGGTTGTACCTCACCCCCAGAAATAAAAAAGCAGCTCTTCCCATTACCCACATGCTCTTTTCCCAGGATTTGTGCATTCATATGGGAATGAAAATGTGCAAATGGATTCTGTCCAAGCCACTGGAAACACAGGAAACTCTACAAGCTCCCTCCTTTTATCCCCTCGCAAAAGCACTGACCGTTTGTTTTATTTCGGGATACTGTATCCTAACAAATTATCCTTAAAAATCATTTGGTGTGAAATTGCAGATTAATCCCACCGGGATGGGGGTTTAGCCCTCGTCTGGCCACTCGGGAGCACACAGATGGTGGCTGGGAGTGTGACAAAAGGCACAATCCCTGATTACATGCATGGATGTAACGGACAGAAAGCTTTTCCTCATGGCCAAGGTGAGGAAAACACCGGAGGTCCCAGAGCCTGGCTCCTGCTGGGAGAGCTGTCCTGGAAAATCTGCCCTGGAAAAGTTTTGCACTATCTCCCAAACAAAGAGAAACCTGCTCTGACTCCCTTTAAAATCAGATTTTTACACCTGTTAGTACTTTCCTTATTCATTTTTTCCGTGTTGTTTTGTTTTATTGCATCTTTAGGTGGCAAACACCAACAAATGGGGATTCCTTTCGGAGTCTGGCAGCTTCCCAAAATTAATTCTGTCTATCCCACAGGGAAAATGTTGTCCTGCTCGTGAAGTGCTGGAAGTCTGGCCTGGAAGAAATTAATCTTTATCCTCGTGAAATGGCGTTGGTGCCCTGCACAGCCCTGAAATTCCAACTGCCAGCTGAGCTCCTCTCTGATTTTAATGTGAAATTGCTCTTATTTAGGAACAGAATCCACTCTGCTGCTTGTTCCTGGTGGGAATTCAGGTGTGTGAGTACAATGACCCATCCCTGGAAGAAGGTTTAAGTCTCATCCAACCCAAACCATTCTGGGATTCCATGATTTTCCTGGAAAAATGGGCCTGGGGCTTCTAAATGCCCCTCAACAGAAATCCTGCAGAGCCAGGATTGTTTGTGCTTTAAGAGCTGGCAGAACCCCAAACCCAACCCACAAAGACACACAAAACCTGACAATATATTTATTTTTTAGCCAGTTAAACTTAAGCTTAGCACAATTTTTACCTCTGTGAGTGAACTACAAGAATATTTTGCCCTGATTTATGTCCAGTCTGGGGAAAAATGAGTTTATGGGTGCTATAATTGTGCAGTGGTTATTATATGAAGCAATGAAATTAGAACAAATCCATGTATTATGTCATCATAGAATTAATACTTTTATTTTGCATTTAGGGCATGAAATAAATACTTCTGAATTATTTTTTTTCCCCAAAAACAGAGGGATATCAATATGTTGTTGGCTGACAGACGTAATTCCTAATTTAGTTTGTCATTGGAAGAGACAGCTTCAGCCCCAGAGCACACAAAATTGTCACTTCTGATTTCTTTATTGCTCTTTTGTAGCCTGTGGTTTATTTACAGCCACATTTTATTTATTTATTTATTTATTTAAATTTTATTTATTTTATTTTTTTTTTTAATTTACAGCCACATTTATTTATTTATTGTGCAGAGAATCCTGTGTAGGTCTCACCTCTTCCTTCATCACAGTAATGAGCTTTTCCTTAATTAATATCCCTCCTTGTTTCAGCCAATCCCCATGGATTGTGTCATGCAGATAATGGCAGTCAGTGCTTTTTTTGTCTCTGTGCATGAAAAGTTTTTTCTCTTTGCAGGTGAAAAGGAAAGAAGCAAAAAAAAAATGAGATTTTGGAGCTCTTTGCTTCCATCTTTGGGCAAACACAACTTTTTGTTGTAGGAGCAATGAATTTTGAGTGACTACGGAAATATTTTGGGGAATTCATCCCTGAGGGCTCAGCTGGAGGCACAGCTCATGGAAAAACCCAACAACAACTTTCAGAGAGCCCATCCTGCTCCCCAGTGAGGGAATTCCGTGGGCACAGGGACAGGGATGGCCTGAGGATCCCGCTCTGGCCATGTTTAAATTGATATTTCTTACACAAAACCACAGAGAATGCCAAAGTCTGGTTTGGAAATGTTGCAGAACTCAAAACTCCCAATGACATCAGGGTTTTCAACCACGACTGAAGATGCTCAAGAAGAACACTCTTCAAGGTTAGTGGAGTGTTGATAACAAACACACCATCTTTTCTTTTTATTTCTGCAATATTTTCACAGCCACGCTACATCACAAATAAAAAATAGCACCCACAGGATGTCAGAGTAACATCCAAATGTGTGCAGCCCAAATTCGGCCTGATAAATCCTTTCAGAAGGTTTGATTTCCATTTTCCTCCTGGTTTCTGTAAATCTTTGGTGAATATTGGTTCTACCCAGGCATTTCCTGCCAGGCATTCCAGGGTGGTGGGCGTTCTCAGGGATTCCTGGATCTGAGGATTTCTGTAACTGTTCCTGGGTGGAAGCATCCATCAGAACCCAGCAGTGACCATTCCTTTGGAGCCAGTGAGCGAAGAGAAGCCTGTGAGTATTTTTCTGAGGTTTTTAAGAGTGAGAAGTTAAGATCCCTTGTCTTTATAAGGCTGCCACCAAATTAACATAACCCAGAAATCGTCAGCTCCATTATGAGCAGCTTTTCCTGCTCCCTCAGCAGCTCTGCCCTCACCAACCCCACGATTTAGGGAATATTGTTTCCTGCTTCCATGGCACACAAGTCTAATTAAACCATTTCTGCACCTTCCCTGGCCATAACTCTTCATTCCAGTAATTAGAAGACACCCCAGTACAGAACTAGCTGCTTCATCAGCTTTTAGGCTACGAGACTTAAAACTAACATTTTCAAAAGCATTTCATGGTTTGAAAGAATGGTCAATTAACCTTCAGTTTCCTGGGGGGAACCCTGCAAAGAACTGTCAACAGTTCAGTTTAGAGAGATTTGTCCAGTGACCTACAAGGCCACGAAGTTCACGAATGCATGGAATGGTGTCATCATGGATTTGTTCCCTGGGTTACTGTCACAAGAGAAAAACTGATTTTTCTGCTACAGTAACAAGTGACCAAGGGGCAACAGGGACGACCCCGGTGCTTCCTTGGGCTCCTGGGCAAAACCAGGGCCACTCAAAAGGAAAAAAAAAACAACCCTGGTATCTTCAGGATGAATTATGTGTCTCTTTCTCTTCCTCCCATAAGGTTCTTTTTTAATCAGGGGCTGGGAGATTCCTCTGCTGCCTGCTGGGTTTCTTTGTATTTGGAATTTTCTGCAAACAGCAGCATAAGATGAACGTCTGACGATTGTGCTGGTGACAGTCTTCAGATTTAAGTGATAGCAACATCTCGGTCTTTATAGCAAATTAAGGGTTTTCTGTGGAGCGCTGGGGATTGATCTGGGGATGCACCTGCTGGAGGAACCCGTTCTGAGCCTGCCTCACCATGAATTGATTTTATTGTGAGATTCCAAAGGAAACCAGAGTCTGCTCCTGGCCATTGGAGGTAAAACAATCTCTGGCTTCATGAGGGAGGAAGAATTAGCCATAAATAAAATTGTCTTCTACGTAGGGTTTGATACAAAATTCGAATCTTTGGCTTTGCTTTTACTTCAGTGCTCTGTAAAAACAGGGGTTTACTCCCATTTCAGAAGCTGCACGGAAAAATTGATTTTGTTTTCTTCTACTCATCATCAAAACATTTTCCTTGGCCAACCTTACACATCCCTACATTAAATCTGATTTTTCTGGCTTTTCTCATTTTGCCACACCCAAGGTCAGGGTCATTGCTCCATGACTGGAACTGTCTCCATTATAGTTTAAAACATTTCAGTTGATTCTGTGTAGTGCTCCAAACTTAAGATTTTAAGATATGAAGTAATCAGAAGGGTTTTCTTAAGGAAAAATCCTTGTACTTAGAGAATCCTGGAATGGTTTGGGTTGGAAGGGATCTTAAATCTCATCCAGTTCCACCCCCTGCCGTGGGCAGGGACACCTTCCACTAGCCCAGGTTGCTCCAAGCCTTGTCCAGCCTGGCCTTGGGCACTCCCAGGGGTGGGGAATTGTACTCACACACCTGAATTCCCACCAGGAGCACACAGTCGTGGGTTCTAGGAGCAGTTTTTGTGCTGAGATCAAATATCAGAGTTCTCCAGATCCCAAGTGCTGCATGACAGGAGCTGGATATCCTTCAGAGGAAATGGAGACATCTGTACGGGGATTTTTTGAAACCAGAGCACACCTCAGGCTGGTAATTGAAACTTAGTCCCTGTTTTTTCTGAGTTTTACACGGAGCTGTGCCTCAGGCTCCAAAGCTCTTCCTGGCTGTGGTGATTCCCATTCATCCGGGCAAGTCAGGAATTCCCTTAGACCTGGGCTGAGGATCTGTCAGAGCCTTCAGACCTGATAAAACCCTGCAGGAAGGGAATAACACTGGTGCTGTGTATTGCCAGTGACCCTTTGCTGCATTTTAGCAGCGACACATTTGTCACTCTGTGTCCCCTCATGAGGCTCTTGGTGAGGGAGAAGGGAAGGACGAGGAGAAACAACGGCTCCAATTAGAAATTTGCCCATTGTTTTTTCAGAACAGCTGGGGGAGAAGCCCAGACCCTGACCCATTCCTCCCCTCCTCAGAAGCCCCAGAGCAGAGATTTAAATTCAAAGCATGACTTTGCAGGCTGGGCTGCACAGGGGGGAGGGGAGCAGCGATGATGAGGAGCCGCGGGCGCAGTGCACGAGCAGCGCCTTGGGCATGGAGAGAGATATCATTAGATTAAAAAAGTGTCTTCCCACACAAACAAAAGGAGAGGCTGGCTGGGAGCGTCTTTTGCCCAACACGAGCTCCAGAGGCACTGCTGGGACAGGCAAGGCCCTGTTTCTGCAGTGCCCGGAGCGTGGACACGCACGGAATGAGCCACACGGGCCCGAGGCCTGCGCCTCCCTCCCCACTCAGGATCAATTACTCATCCAAAATGACAGCCACTGTCTGCTGACCAAGAGTTGTCACCCATTTGTGCTTCCTCAGGGGTGAATGCTTTTGCTTCTGAGCTGGTCTGACTGCTCTGCTGTGCTTTTAGAAGGAAAAGTTGGCAAATTTTTATTGCCCGAAGGAGTCAGTTCATCACACGGAACGTCTCGCTTGGTTTCTTGTCACATTCCTACTTCAACACTTTGGTTTCTCTCTACATTCAAATCATCATTGCTGATGGGGTTATTTTTTAGAAATAAAAGCTCAGTGGTTTTGCTACAATTTTTTGCCTCAGGAGAATGTTGATCCTGCTTAACTCTTTGGAATATGAAGTCGGGCCCTTCTTTTTCGAGTTCCCCCTTTAGCCCTGCCAAACAGGTTTAACCTTTATTTGTTCTATATTTGGTTTCAGAATGGGCAGTTTAATGCTCAGACGAATTTCAATATACGGGGATGCAACAGGAAAAACAACAAAAATAAAAGAATCTGTTGGGGTTATTCATGTGCTTTTGGATTTGATTTACTTCCTACTTCCTTATTTAATAACCAGGTTCCTTAAGACTCCTTAAGCTTGACTGACCCGTGTTTTGTTGGCGGGTCTATTCCACTGACCCCTGCCAAGACCCCTGCCCCAGTTCGTCTATCAGACAAAAATGAATCTATTCCAGGAGCTATCACTTCCCATTATCTCTAATTGAGCCTGACAGTTGGAGACAGGCCTCATTATTTTTAATTGGGCCCTATAGTTCTAGAGTTAAATTAAACACAATTTAATGCAGATAGCTCATCTACATCGCTATGACAGAGTCAAATTGTATTTTAAGTTTAATGGAACAACAGGGTTTGTTTGCAGGCTTTGCTTTTTGCAGAGTGTTGCTGCTTTGAGCTTTGTGTTGTGTAAAACTTGCCTGGGGTGTGAGGACACGTCTGTTAATTAGAACCTGACCTAGCCCTGCACCTGTTGGACCTTTTCTCTCCACTTTTAGACCAAAAATCCAGACGTGGGCCCAGGGTGGTGATGAACAACTCTTTAATCAACCCAGACTGCCTGTGAGAGCTTCATATGGTTCAGGTAGTTTTAAACAGATTTGCAGGGGTGTCATGCAAACAGAGAAACTGCTGAAAGTTTTCCCCAAATTCCTGTGGGATATTTTATCCAGAATTTAAAGGGAAGATACCTCTCAACACCTCAGCTTGGGCATTTTTCCTGCTCCCTTCAGAGCTTTTTTCTGCCACAAAGGAACATTTTTATCACTATCAGTGGGGCTTTTCTGTGAAGACACCTCTGGATAAAGAAGGGATTGAACCACCCTGGTGCTGTAAATATTATAAATGTTCTTGTCTTGGATTTTCTTAGGGAAGGAACATTCCAGTCCGTTCTAAGGAAGGATCACAAAACTCTTTGGATTGCTCATGGAACCAAGATCCCTAATTACAGAATGCTTTGATTAAATATTGGATTTTCCTTTGCACAGGTGAGGTTAAACACTTGTTTCAAAGGACATTTCCTTTGATATTTGTATTTTCTGTACTTTTCTCCTTGTTTAAAAGTCAAATAAACAAACTACAGCACTTCTCCCATGAGCAGTAACACATCCAATGTGTCTTGAGGAATCCAAGACAAGAATCCTTCAGTTTGGAGCAGCGGGATTTCTACTCTTCTTAATAGTTCGGGCAGTTTGCATTAGTAATTATATACTGTGCGTTTAATTAATAGACACTTAATCATGGAAATTCTGTGACATCAAGCCTGGAGGCTGGGATTATCCTGGAGAAAATGAGCAAGGATTTCCCAATGTTTGAACAGTCCCTGCTCCTTCCTAACTGCTCTCCTTGGCAGCAGCCACCCTCCCCAGCCCAAGGTCAGCCGTGCCTCACTTCTCCTGCCTCTGGCATCTCTTCTGGAGCAGGGAATTCCTGCAGCCTGGAGAATCTCCTGGATGAATCCTTTGCTGCCTGTTCATGCTGGATCTCCAGCTTTTCTCCTGGCATCGCTTTTGCTGGACACAGGGATTGTCCTGAAGAAAATGAGCAAGGATTACCCAATGGATTTTTTTCAGCCCAACCTCTCACTTTAAAGTTGATGTGATGGCACCTCTGGGATGATTTTTTCCATGCCCACAGCCAGCCTGGAAATGCTAGTCCAGCTCGACAGCACCAACTGCATGAACTTCCCAGCTTTTGCACTCATTAGGTGTTTTTGTTGGCTTTATCCCAAGGCTGGCAGAACCCCCCTCCTTCCCTGGCCCTGCAGGAGGTCCCTGCTGGGACAGCCTAAAATCCCAGGAGATACAAGAGCTCTGTCATGTGCTGTTGTCCTTTTGATTGAACTTGTAGAGAAAAGGCCTTTGTCCAGTCTGTGGCCAGGGAGCAGCACACTCCCAAAATTACAGCCCAGATTTAGTGACCTGTGTGAGGAGTGAGACTGAAAGGGGTTTATTACAGCTTTCCACGCCTCTATGTATCAGTATTTGGGATTTATGACAGCTTTCCACGATCCCACGGGGCTACATTTGGGATTTGAATGGCTCTTGCACATCAGCATTTAGGCCTTGCTGGGAATACTCCCTGCAGCCACACAAGGGGGAGGAAGGATTGTCAGCCACATCGTGGATGGGAAGTTTTGGGGGGGTGTTTTTTGGGGGAAGATTGTGGTGAGGGAGACTGGAGTGGTTTGGATGCTGGGTTTTATACATGTACTCGTTCTGTACAGCATTTTTTAGGGAAATTCGCTCCAGAACTAAAGGGTTTCAATGTCCCCACCCCCCTTCTGTTTCTGGCAGAGGAACACAAGTTAACAAAAACATCACTCCTGTATTTGTTGTAGTAATTAACTCCTAGAAGTTCCAGCTACCCAGTCAGGGAGGGCACAGCATTGCTGCCTCCCTGAAGTTCTGTCTGCATGTTTTCCTGTTAGAAAGAAACCTTAAATCCTCATCCTGAGAAATTCACCCCAATTTCAAGTGCAGACAGAAGGATTTTAAGAGTTCACATTTCCCTGATTCCTCGTTTGCTTTGTGAATATGAACTTTAAGTGGGATAAATTCACGATGGCCTGTGCCACACCATCTTGCTGCTACATGAAGCTCATGGATTATTGTGGCTGTTCTGGATTGATCCCAAAATCCCAGAACCACTGAGGGTGGAAAAGACCTTCCAGACCATCTAGTCCAACCTATTTGGGCTCTAACTGCAATGTCAAAATCTCAAATTCCAACCTTCCAATGACAGAATTTCCTCGTGTGTGACTGCTCTGTTCCAGAGGTGCCGCAGGGTTTGGAGAGGCTCATGGAGAGCAGGTTGTGGTTTTCATGTATTTTACCAGGATCAAATTATCTAAATTATCTCCTGTTCCCTCTGTGTTGTTTTGAGGTGGGGTTTTTTGGTTGGTTTTTTTTTTTGTCTGCTTTGTTTTTGTTTCCTCTCAACCAGCTCGAGCAAGAATGTGGGTTAGAAACAAAAGATGTCGAGGATTTAATTTAGCCAGACAAAAAATACTCTTTTCAAATGTTAAAACAGGCTGAAAGAGAGGTCTGAGGGCTGGTTTGAAAGGACAGGACTTTGTTCCCAGTGCTGTTCCCAGCAGTGATGGGAGACACTCGGATCCTGAGCTGATGGATCTGCCCTCTGCTGCCTCCTAATAAAGCTAATCTGCTTTATTCTTTAATTAATATATACATTTATATTATATCATATAACTCACTGGCCAGCTTGCAGTTACCTGGAGAAGAGCTTAAAAAAATGTAAACAAAAATATTTGGGAATTTTAAACAGCAGTTAGAGGAGGGCTATTTTTTGCTTGGAATGTTTGAAATTACTGAGATCAGGGGTGAATAATTGATAATAATTTTAACCCAAGCAAGAATTCCATTAAATATGAACAAGAGGAGGCTGGACACGTGGTAAAGGATTTCTCTTTCCCTTTTGACTGCAACCAATCCCTTTGGATCTGGTCACTGTAGACACCTGGCAATGAAATGGGTGTGTGAAAGAGGAGGAAACCAGATATTATGTTACTTAAAAGTCATTCATCATGTCACAGGAAGGCAGGAATCTGAACTGCTGCAATAAATAATCGCTGAAGGTGATCTCTGTACACAAAGGAGCTGTGACAGGGAGCCACTGCCAGCTGCTGAAATGTCCCTCTGACAGCAGGAGCTGGGGCTGTGCTGGAGTGAAGGCCAGGGAGAACAGGACACAGGGAAATGATTTCCTGGGAGCCATCCCATGAGCTGTCCATAGAAATGAGCTCCCTGATTTTGCTGGAGGAAAGCAGGATTGTGGGTTCAGGTCTCAAGCCTGAGTTGCAAGGAGTGCTTGAAGAGCTCCACGTGTCCCTCACAACACCCTGGCTCCAGCCACAAAGCTGTCATTTTGCATTCCTCAGCAAAGAACAACATTTCTGCCTCACTTCTAATTCCATGCTTGGTTTCTCTGTGCTTTCTTCATGGAAAGGGTGGTCAGGCCTTGGCAGGGGCTGCCCAGGGAGGTTTGGGGTCCCCATCCCTGGAGGTGTCCAAGGAATGCCTGGATGTGACAGTGCTGGGGACAAGGTCAGGACTCAATCTTGGATGTCTTTCCCAAGCCAAAAGACTTCACAATTCCCACTCTGTGCAAAGCAATTCCTCAGCATTCCCTGAGTAATCCCCTTTCCACTGATGGCATGGAAAGATCTCTTGGGGATTTTATTTTAGCTGGTGACAACTTCCAGTTGTAATTGTGTGAGAAAGAGCAGAGCTGTTCTGGTGGACAGGGTAACACCTTCTTGGCATGTCCAGGTGGACAAGGCATGTCCATGGCACATCCAGCAGTCCAGACCAGCTCACTGAAAAGATCCTCCTCATCCGTCTAACCAGACAGGGACTTTGGGATCTTCTGTCAGCAAAAGAAAGGATTGGGTGGGATAAATTGGACCTACCTGGAGAGTCAGAGTGACCACGAGCACCCTTTGTTTTCCATCTCTTGTAACTCTCAGTGACACCCTCAGCTCTGCTCCAATACATCCCTAAATGAATTAATGAGTTTCCCTCAGTGTTTCTTCCCCAAAGTCAATAACACACATTTATATGCTTTTCATCTCTGTATTACACCATCTCCTATTAATTTCTCTGTTTTCCTCTCCAGGAAGGTGTCCAGGATCTAAACTGAGTGGCTTGGCAGCGTTGACCTGCATTTCCCAGTTCACCCCTGGGATTTTTACCTGAAAATTTTGGCGCTGCTCAGTCCTGTAAGTGCTCCCTGCACTTCCGAGCTCAAGCACCCACAGCAGCGCGTCCCCACGCTCCAGAGGCACCAGGCAATGAATGGGATAAATCCTGAATGAATTTAATGAATATTTTCCCTGCTGAAGCTGCTGTAGGGTGTAGTTTTTCACCTGCTGATGCTGAGTGAGGCTGGCGAGGTGCAGGTGGAGCAGCCTCTCCCCAGATCTGGTTACACCACGTCAGGACCCCGGGGGAGGAAAAAGGCAGAATTCAATATATTCATGTGAGAGTGGAGCCCTCATCCTCCACATGAGCTTTATTCCAATTTCTGCAGGGTGAATCCGTACCCATCCTGGGCCCTGTCCTGGTGAGGTGGAGAGATCCCAGAGGCTGCAGCAATGCAGGGAAACTGCTAAAATTGCCTCTGTGGGTTGGAATCACATGAAAGATTCATGTGGAGTCTTAGCACCTGCTCCTCCTTTGTGGGATATCTGCACTGTTAATTTTTAAGCACGTCTTAGCCTGGGGAAGGGAGATCCTATAACCAAGGCAATATACATTATTAACCTTAAAGCTCCCAGCTCGAGGCAGCTCCTCGGCCACTCTGGGTTCTGAAGGAGAAGCTGAGCACCCACCACCTGCTCTGTGCTGGCATCAAACTGGGATGGCTCCAGCTCAATACACCCAAAATACACCCTCCTGAATTTGGGTAGTTTGTAATTAACACAGAACGCTCCCACCGACTCCTCAAGGATCCCAGGTGCAATCTAATCTCGAGGAAGATACAGTTTCTAGTTCTTATCTTGGAAAAGTGGCCACTAAGTGGATGCAAGTGCCATAGGCCCAAGTCCCTGGTCCCAGTAAATTATTAAAGGTGCTCAATTCGGGTGAGGACATCGTCCCTGCCCGGCTGCCCAGAGTTCCGAGGGACCTTACCCAGGTTCAAAGCCCCTGGTGAATGGTTGCCCTGGAATAATTGGTAACAGCAGCCAGGATGGACACCCAGGTAACTTCAATTATCGTGGCTCTAGTGGGAGATGCATTAACAGAGAGATTTATTCCATGGGGCGTTTCCTGCAGGGGGTTGGAACTGAAGGGTTTTTAAGGTCCCTTTCAACTCAATCACTCTGAGATTTTATGATTTCTATTATCTGTATTAGTATGTATTTGAGTGGTGCATTTCTATAGGTTAAATGATGGGATAATGATCTGAAAATCATATTTTTATAAAGCACACAACCGATGCAATTCGGTCACAAATATCAGAACTCATTTCCCAAACTTCCTGGTGCAGAAACATATATTGAGTTTATCCTGGACAACGGGGGGTAAGAGCAACTTTTCTCCTTGATTCCTGTGTGCTCCTAAAGCTCCCTTCTCTCCTGGCTAATAGCATTTCTGGACTTCAGCACAGAAATATCTTGGAAGCTGGGACTGGGGTGACATCTCACTTGCATGATAATGAAATCTTGACAGAGGAGATGACAGATGGAACTCCAGGATAGATCCAGCTACTTATTTATTTTTTCCAAGAAGGTTTATTTGTTATAAACTTTCCCATTTTTTAGTGGAAAAAATGGGAAGGTTTATAAAAAAATTATAAGGTGCAGGTTTCTTGGTGTATGCTAATGATTTTCTCTTGTCATAGACTTTAGGAAAACTTCCAGGGAAAATTCTGCACCTCTAACACAGGTGCAGGCTGGTTTCTTAAACAGCCCAGTTTAGTTTTCCTCAATGTCAATTGAGGAAAATTCTCAATCTTCTTCAAATTCTTCCACCTCAGTCCCAAGGTTCTGGAGCTGGGCTCTTTGGACAGGGGTCACAGTCTTGGTGTGGTGCTCTGCAATCTCCATCAAATCCCATCCCAAAACCTGGGCATGGCTTTTACAGGATGGACATCCAGGTAACCTTGACATTCTCTGTCCAGAGCTGCCTCCTGAGGAACTGGACGAGGGTAAAATTCCTGTGGTCTCCTCGGCACACCTTCCACCTGCCACAAAATAACCTGGTTAATCCTCAGTTTATTTATTGATAATCAGTGTGGTGAGACCTGCTCAGAGGCAAGAGGCTCCCTGGGCATCTCCTGTCCTCCTCTTCCCGTGGAAAAGCGTGGTCAGTGATGGGGAGGGACACAGAGCCCATGCTCGCCCCAGGAAGGTCAATCCTCTGAGTGTGCTGGAAAAGCTTCCCAGGGAGCTGCTCCCCGGAGGGACTGGGCTGCAGAGGCAGGAGGAGGGGAGGCCCTGCAGCTGGGGGGGCTGGAGGGAAGGAAGGAAGGAAGGAGTGACTCTGAGAGGAGCTGCAGCCAAGGTGGTCAGCCGGGAGCAGAGCAGGAGCCGGGCTCCTCAGGGCAGATGGCAGAGCTGGATGCAGAGGCCAAGGAGAAGGAAGGAAATTATTCCCAGAGAGAAAGTGGCAGAGGCAGAGCGTGACAGGCTGAGGCAGAGAGAGAAATACAGTGACCGAAGGGAGGATTTAATTTTTAATTAGCCACAATGAATTCCTTCCGCATCTGAAGTCTGGTGAGAACACGGAGTGAAAGGTGGGTTTGCTTTGGTGGGTCCCATCAGAGAGGGAGGCAGAGGGGTCTCTCAGGGAATTGAAGTCCTGAGGGGCTGAACTCTGAGCTGCTGGGGGTGTCTGGCTGTGGGACAATCCTGGGAAATCCCTGGAGTTTTCCTTACTGCAGCATGGATGGGATTTTTACTCTGCATGTGGCGCTGCTCTGTGCATGGTGTGGCTGAGTCAGAGGTGGAGGATCCCCCTGCTCAAAGATCCAAAATCCAGCAGGAGAATGGTCCATCCACTGGGTTAAGGACTTTGCCACCGAGGCTTGGAGCTAATAGAGGAATGAAGGAATTTATTTTCACTAATGGTTGCAGGAGGCTCAAAAATAATTCCTCCTCAGGAGGGCTTGGGTTTGGAGGGGCCTTTTTCCCCCTCAGAGGGGACTCCCTGTCTGGCTATTTACTGTATTAGTGACACGAGGCAGAATTCCAGCAAACAGGATGAGCACATTCATTACTGGGGTAATTACTGGGATAATTGTTCCACTGTGGAGCTGGGATGTGGACAGAGCACTGGTTGCAGGATCTGCCTTCTCCTTTCTCCCCAATTCCCTGCTTTTCTCCCACATCCTCTCTTTGCTCCTCATCCAGCAGCAGGGAAATTCTCAGTGTGAGTGCCAGGATAATTTCCATTCCCTGTAAATAGTCCTCAGAGAGGAATTCTTCCAGGGAAGTCTCATAAAGGTGACACATCCCTTTCCTCCAAAGCGCTCCTGTGTTATTTTTAATATGTAAAACATTTCCATCTAAATCACTGCAGTTATTTCTACTTCCTCAGATAACATTTAGCTCTAAGTATAAAAAAAACCAGATAAATAATTCATAAAGAATTATGAGACTCTTTTAAAGAAACTTGTTAATTTTAGGTACGTTCAAATTTCAAGATGAGGAATAGCAACACTCTCTGATTCAAACATGCACCTAAATCCAATAAAATGTGACTATTTTAACCCATTTTATCAGGTTTTCCCTCTTTCAGAGGATGACCTTTCCCTCTGTCAGCCATCCAGAAGCCTTCTGGGAATCAGCTGAGTCCCCTTTGTCTCTACCTGCCCTCCCCACATGGAATGAATAGTTTTGTGCTTCAGAAGATGTGGGGGGGATTAATATTTCCCTCTTTCCTTCTTGGCTTGCCTTTTTGTAGCAATGTGGAAAAGTGGGGTAAGTTCAGAGCTTTTCCTAAGGTTTTATGCTAATGGGCACTTTAAACTGGGAATTTCTGGATAATGGCAAGCTGGGACCTGACTGCGAGCAGTGGTTGTTGTCCTTCTCCAAGGAACAGAGGCAGAAGAAGTTTTGGGGTATTTTGGAGAGAATGGTGGGACCAAAGGAGGAGGGAAGGAGCTGATTTTTACCTACATGATAAAAAGGGATTTTTTTCTGATCAGTAGAGAAAGGGGCTGGCAACTCCCAGAGCCTGGGAGTGCCTGAGGAATCTTGATCCTTACTTAAACCCAAACCCAGAGGAGCTGCCCTTAGGTGACCCTGATGTGTGGGCCCCTCTACATTTGGAATGCTGGAGACGCCCTCTATTCCTGCTATGGAGTAGAACCAACCTGGATGCTCTCAGAGGGGGTCACAGTGGCTCTTCATTTCCCTTCTCCATCCCTGTGCCTGTAACAAGCCAAGAGCAGTGTTCCCTTTCCCTTCCCTCGGCTTCAGAGCTGCAGGCAGTGATGGATGATCACTGAGCCAGCAACCAGGCCCTTCCCACTCTCAGAAACAGCTCTGGCGCACTGCAAGCTATCTTGAAGGATAGGGAAAAGATGATTTTGAAGAGAAGAGAAATTATTTGCTTTACAGACACTCCTGTATTGAGACTCTTTGTTGGTTGAAGCGGCAGGTCTGGTGCCCCCCTCCCAGGAGCAGAGTGGGGTTCTCTTGTGGCTTCAGGTGGCAGCTCCCAGAATGAAACTCTGATGTGGCCTCCATGCCTGACTCCTGAATTTAAAAGCTTGTTACTGGAGTGCTTTGTGTGCCGGGTTCCAGGGAACCTGAACCAGGGAAAGGCAGATGAAGATGTTTTTGGAAGGAGTTTGGAGGAGGTTTTTGCTCTTTATTCCCATTGTGGCTGCATCTCCAGGCTCAGCTGAAATCCTGCTCTGCCAGTAAATCCTCAACCAGACCACGAGCCCATCCAGCCTCTTTGCTGCTCCTCCCACCCAAAACTGCAGCCCTGGCACTGCTGTCCCCTCAACCCTGAAGGAGCAGAGCCAGAGCAAGGCCTGTCCTAAATCACAGAGAGCTTTGGGTGACCTTGGCTGCAGTTCCTGAATCAGACCTTGCGTTGCAGCCTCTGCAAGTCTCTGGTGTGTAGCTGCTATGGAAGCAGCCCCTGACTTTTGGGGAGCTCTTATGGAGTGATAAAAACTGGCTTTTGCTGTGGGAACTGGAGTTGTAATCTTGGTTTGGGCTGGGAATTGTTGTCCAAGGTGTCGTTTGTCTCATCTGCTCTCAGTTGTGATGCTGACACGCACAGGCAGCTCCTTTCTGCTGCCTGGTGCCCAGAGGGTTTGGTCTTTGGGGATGTTGGAATAATCCCATGGGAGATGTGATCCCAATCCCTGCTTTATCAGTGGCCTTCTTGCTGTGTCCATAAATGTGATTTTGGGGCCGTTTTCCTCTGGTTCTCTGTTCTGTCCTGAAGGCTTGTAAACACCCTGGAGGTGTGTTCAGCTTAGAATACATGAATTTACTGTGGTTAAATGCTCCTCTCCCTGTACCTTAGGGACTGTCAGATACTTCAGGACCATCCTTCTCTTTCCTAGAAATTGAATAAATCTGCCTTGCCACATTCCCAGGATTTTTAACTCTGAATTTTAGTTTTTCAACTGGAAATCCTGTGCTCTGTCAACTATGGAATGCTCTGGAGCATACAGAGGTTAGCCATGGAGTTTATCAGTAATTGATGTTTTCTAATAAACCATCCTGTGCTGCAATTAATAAGGATTTAGGATTCATTACAGAGCTGTCTCTGGTCCAGCAGTGGCAGTAAATCTAAGCATGAAGAAAACTCTGAAATTTATATCTAAAAGCCAATAACTGAGAGAATGAGCACTTTAGTGTCCGTGCTCTGGTCAGACAGGCTTTGAGCTGGGTTTTACCTGGTCCTAAATTTCCCCAGGGAAGTGGAATTGCTGCTGCTTTCCTCACTCATCCAGCATGTCTGGGGTGCAGGGACGAGCACGGAGTTCTGGGCAGCATCTCTGTGTGTGTGAAACAAGCTGAGACAGCAGAAGGGCCCTTCCTACGAGTAAAATAAAAGCTATAAAGAAGTGTTTTATGCTCTAAGTCAGGTGCTGGAATGCTTGGGTGCCTGCTGTAACCTGGGAGCGCTGGTGCGAACTGGGAATTCTGGGGTGGGAAGCGTTTGCCTAACCTGGGCCTGGCTTGCTGGCACCGACCCAAAATGTGAGCTGCTCACATTAACCTGACAGGCCATTGTTTTATTCAAGCTGACATGGTGAATGGGGCTCTTTTTTGCCCATATTCTTTACCTGTCTCGTTGTGTTAAAGTGGGGAGCGCTGGGGGCAGGTGGGCCCAGGCCTCGGCCCCGCTCGCAGGCCTCGGAGCGCCCGGCGCGGCCGACGGGGACCCTGTGGCACAAGAAAGAGTTGCTAAGAACAAATCTCTATTGTTCCCCGTCATCTTTAAATGAGTGTCAAAGTAGGCAGGGGGGCTTTGACCGTTAACCGCACAATTTAGCCGGCCCCTTGTGTCCGGCAGCCCCCTCCGCCTTGGAGCTCCTGGGATGAGAAAAGGCGGCCTCAGCCCCTTCTAAATGGGCCAACTCTTCTCCTTTGTGTGCAGACTGCCCAGTGTGAAATCCGCAGTGACGTTAAATGTTTTCTAATGAATAATTACTGAAAGGAAATGGAGGAATATATGTGTCATGGATTGTAGCGCGTTAAAATGTTTTCTTTTGGGCACAAAAATGTTGTCCTTCAGCAGCGCCGCGATTGTTTCAGGGAGCCTTTTGTGGGGGTTTGGATTCTCAATGGATTATCTGTGAGCGCTCGCTTTTCCAATAGGAATCAAAAGGGTCCTTTGGCAAACTAATGTTTTTCAAAATGGCAGCCATGAAGCCCATTTAGTATTTAAAGTTTGGGGTTTAAAGAAATGTTTGAACTCAGGAGATTTTCTCACTTTTTTTCTTTCTTTTGATTTATGAAAGTGAAGTGGTTCACCTCGACCTCTCCTCTATTGAGAAAGACAGACAGTCACCCTTTAACAAGTCTATAGCAGACCATGCCCTGGAGACAGACAAGAGGCCTTAAGAACTCTTGGCGTTTCCCTGGGCTGTTGATTAACCTTAAAACCCTCTTATTCTGTATTCTTTTGAAAAGAAATTAGGTTACAATGTGTAAATTTTTCCACAGTATAATTGTATTTATGAATTCTCCTGCCTCGAGGAGCGTGTACAGTAGTGCCAGACAGTCCAAGTGCCTCCCTGCACACACAAAATATCCCTTTTCCATGGCTGCTGCATTCCCAAGCATGGTCCATGTCCAGCATTCCAGTTCTGTTAGAAATCTGAACGAGGCTTCCAGAGATCTGTGAAAAGTCTCAGTGAAATACCCAAAAATCATCTTGTTTTGTTGGCTTTGCTGTGATGGGACGAGCGTAACTTGGTCCTGTGGTGGAATCTGCTCTGCTTTAATCCCTTTTTTATGGGATTCTCGTTTATCTGAAAACTAAGCCGAGCAAATGAATTCTCAGGAGCCGCACCAAGGTTTCCTCAGGAGTGGGAAAGTGTTCCCATTGCCCTGGGCTGGCTGGTCTTCCTGGGTGGGGATGTGTCACCCCAAGTCCTGCTGCCAACATCTGACACTCTGAATTTCCTTTGGGGACAATTGGATGAGTCCTGACTGCTCCTGGAGCAGACACAGGGCATCCCTACGGAGCGCTGGAGTCCTGACCTCGAGGTCACTGCCGTAGGAAGATCCAGGATTGCCGGGACATGGCCGTGCTCCCCCGCTGACCCTGCCAAGTGCCTCTGGCAGAACATCTTCCTTTTCCATTCTCCGTGGTCACGGCCCCTTGGACCAATTCCTCCTGAGAGCTGAGGGTGGAGCAGAGCCCGAGGGGTTCCTTGTTGTGATCCCTGCAGCCCAGGACTCTTAATGAGCGAATTCCTGGAGCACACGAGGGGAGCAGGATGGGTCAGGGAGCTGCTGCCTCTCGCAGTAAATGAGTATTTCCAAAACAGAGCTCCCACGTTCCTGAGGGAACGTGTGTGAACAGTGCTGCTCCGAGCTCAGCTGTGCTGGCCAAGCCTGACACTCTCTATGAAATCTTGTGTCTATTTTAAATCTCATATCTATCTTTTTATCTTGTGTCTCTTTTGAATCAGATGACTCCAGGGACATTCACATACTGCACCTTCCCGTGGCACCGCTTTTATATGATTTTATCTCAGGCCTGTAACTACAGAGAACAGGCAAAAATAAAAAGTTCGGTGTCACAGACATTTCCAGGATGCTGGAGATGTGTCAGTGGGGTTTAGGTTGGATATCAAGGAAAGGTTCTTCCTCCAAAGGGTGCTGGGCACTGCCCAGGCTCCCCAGGGAATGGGCACAGCTCCAAGGCTGCCAGAGCTCCAGGAGCAGTTGGACAAAACTCTCAGGGACAGGCTGGGATTGTTGGGGTTAATTTTCTGTTACCAAAACCTGATTCTGTTGAGAAACAGAGAGGTCTAAACAACCTGTCTGACAAACAGATGCTCTTTGCACTTCTCTGTGAAAATGTGCCTTATTGAGGGTTTTTCCATTTCAAGTTTTGAATGGTTTTGTTCATCACCAATATTTATTAGCTGAGGATAAGTCAGAAATGCCTTTGCCTGGCTCATGCTCCGAGGCGTGAGGGAAGAGATCCGGTTCCTGAGTGCTGCTGTAAGACCAAGGTATCCTGTGGCACAGGAAGGGCTCTTCCATTTCTGGAGAACCTGATCCTGCCACGAGTCCCTTTAGGAGTTCGTCATCCAGCGAGGTGGGACTTGGGTGGGAAACTCCTTAAATACAGAACTCCTAATCCATGGAAGCATCGCCTGGAGAATGGAGAGGTCGCTTGGTGCCGCTCGTGGATTGTTGGTTTCCCAAATGGATGGGTTTTATCCTGTTGGAAATTGGTGGGAGTTGGTGTCCAGCAGGAAAATCATTTTTCTGGGGGAGAAAACTGCCTGTTGAATATGAAAAAAAAAAAGGAAAAAGAAAAGAATAAAAGAAGGAAAATCCATGGAAACGGCGATTTAAACTGGGTTTTGCAGTGACCTCTAGCGGGAGCCAAGGCGGGAGCTGTGGGAAGGGGCTGCGAAGCGATGGGATGTATTTTGTGCCTGGATTTGCCCAAATTGCCCATCGGGAAGGTCAGAGCCCATGGGTTCATCCCCAGAGGCAGCCGTGGGTGTTTTGGTGAGAGGCAGAAGCTCCTGGGGCTGCTGTCGGCAGCTGCTGACAGCTCTTGGATAATTCATTAAAGCGCAAGGATGGCGCATCCCTGCCCAAGGAGGGACCCGACACACGATCCAGGGTGTCCGTGGGCCTCAATTCCAGCCCCAGGGACTCTGTGGAAGCAGCACGGGCTGGACAAGGAGGTGAGGGGAGGGTGAAGATAAAGCAGGACTCAGGTGTGACATAAAACCAGCTGGGAATTTGCAGGGCGGTGGAAGGGAAATCCAGCAGCTCTGGGATGGTCTGGGGATTTGGAGGGTCCTTGAGGAGATTTTTATGCTCTTGTGGGTGGAATTGGTGGCCCAAATAAACCTGGGTTTGCTGGGTTGAACCTTTTGGTGCAGTTTCCTGCGTGGGTGGGAGCTATGAGGATTTCAAAGGTGCCCACCTGAACCTCTCACCTGCATGGTTTGGGCTTTCCCAGTGCTCCCAAAATAGCTGTGGCCTCATAAGTGATCCTCCTCCCCCCTGAACCTGCATCTCTTGTGTTCTGTGACATTAAACCAAAGAAACATCAGTGGAGCATCGGCTGAAAAATCAAGCTTTGATCCTCTGGTGAAGATAAGTAATAATTTTGCAAAGTTTCTTTCTTTCTTTTTAAAGTTGTGGTTTTTTTTGACAGATCTTGCTTCAAACTGGTGCAAACTTTGTCAAAGAAAGTGCTCTGTTCTGTCTGATTCTTTCTCAGGAGCTGCAGAGCTCAGGAATTTGTGCTGTGATCCCACAGACTTCCTTGCAGTTTCCCTGTTGACAGACAAATCCCTGTGGGAAAAGCAAAACCCTTCATTGTAGTGAGGGAGAGGTTTTCTGATAAAGCTCGTGTCTTTAGGAGAGAAAGAGATCTCCTGGCTCCTGAGTGATGAGGGAAGGGAAATAATCCCTTAAAAGAGCAATGTCTTGCTGGGGTCACGGGCACTGATGAGTCCTGGGGCATCTCTTACTCAGGGAAGCACAAAACTCGCAGTGAACTTCCAGAAATGGGTGGGGGACAGGGCACTAAAAGGTGCTGGCATTGTAAATTTATCAGCAGCAGCAAAATACCGAGAAAATCTGGGTACAAAATAGCCCAGAAAAGAGTTCAGGAGTTTTGTCTGGTGGGGAGCAGTTTCATTTACTCATTAACATACACGTGAGAGAAGTGGGTTGAGGAAACCTGAGCAGGCAGATGCCAAGGAGGAGTCAGGATGATCCTTTCCTGCTTCCCAGCTGGGAGAGAAAGGAAAAGTGGCTTGTTCTGAGAGCTTTGTCAGAAGAAAAATCCTATTATTATTTTTTATTATTATTTTATTTTATTATTATTTTATTATTTTTATTTTTATTCTCTTCCAAGGGATGAGAGTGGTCACAGGCAGGGGAGGGTAAAAAAAAAAAGGATATTAATATTAAAAGGAAAAAGTAGGGAACTTTCTGACAGAAAAGTGATCACAATCAGGTCATGCCCTGTCTAAGGAAAAATGAGGAATTCTGTGTCCTGCCAGCTGGGGGCTGGGGAGAGTCAGCAAAGCAAGAAATTACATTCCTTGTGTGTGAATCGAGTGCAGGTGTGGTTTATTTATTTTTTACTTAAATAATCTGCTTTCAGGGGATCTTTCTCTCTGGAGTGCTGTGGTCTTGTTGCTGCTGAGCATAAATCTCAAAACTCAGCTCGCTCTCAAGGAGATAAACACAAAGAACAGGCTAGACCAAAATGAGAATAACCTAAAATTCCTGTTTAAGAGCTGATTTGTCCAAGTTTGCCTCAGTTATAAAACATATTGCATGGTTGGGTCATTTGCTCTTCATTTTATGCAATTCTGCTCCCGAATCCACTGAGCCCCAATGTCCACCAGTGCCTGCAGGCTCATCCCAAAAACCTCCCTCCAGAGCTCAGCAGCAACGCTCAATTTTGTGCTTATTCCCAACCTGCAAAGATTCTTCTTTCAAAAAACCAAAATTAAATTTAAAAAAAGGGGGGCAGAACCCCACATGGCCCTACAGGAACAGAGCACTGTCCTTTTAGTGCTGGTTGAAAACCTGACACACAACCACGACGTCCCCTTGAGCAGCGGAGCAGCAAAATGGGACGAGCCAACGTCCCCAAGGGCAGGAGGAGAACAGCAAAGGTGCTGGGCTGGTGAGCACAGCCTGGAGCTGCTCAGCCACGTTCCTCCCCTAATTATCCAATCCTGGAACCCTCCAAGGGGAGCTCACTCCAAGGAAATTTACTCCAAGGTAAGATGCTCCAGCTGTGGTGAATTCATTTCTGTTTATGCCTTAGGATCGGGATTCCCGTCTGAACTGGGTTATCCTGGTGTCTGCAAAAATGCCAAAAGGGTTCCTGAAAACCCAGCTTTAGCACAGTAATGCCATAAAATATGTGTGATGTAGACAAACCCATATGAAATAGGTAGACAAAAATGTGTTTTTTTTATTTGCTAGCATGAAATTAGCAGCTTGGTTTAAGTAAATAAAAAGCATGTTTTATTCTCATAGCCTCGGAATCGAGCTTGACCCTCAGCAGTGAGAATTTCCCAGATAAATTCAATTTCAACCACAAAGAATCACAAGTGGAGGGTGCAAGAGGATTTGGTTTTGTCAGGGGCAGCCTTTTTTGCATCTCTCAGCCTTTGGAGAAGGATGGGGGGTACGAGGCAAGGTTTAGGTTTTGTTGAGTTGCTCTCTGATCAGTTTTATCAGCAGTGGCCGTGTCTCTCGCTGGCGTGTGGGGACATCTGCTGCCAGCACTGAAAGCTGTCTTGGAGCTGCTGCTGGGAATCACTGGGAATGACATTCTTGTGCAGAGTGGTGCTGTGGGATTCATCTTTTTTGCCTACAAGTCAAGCCCCTTGCAGCCTTTTCCAGGGATTCTCATGCCTAGATCTGTATAAAGGGGAAAAAAACTAAGGATTTTTCTGCTGCCTTCCACTGTTTGTTCCAACTTTGTGCCTGGAAAATTCTGTCTAGACTGAGTTACTGAGTGTTCAGATCCCAGCTGCATCTCCAGGGCTGGGCTTGTCTCAGTTTTGATGGAAACCAGGATCTTCTTCCCTGCTCACAGCAGCGAGTCTGGGACATCTGGGCTCTGAAGAGCTTGGATGGAATTGCCATCCTTGGACAAGCTGGAATCTCTTGGAATTACCCGTGCAAGGCTGATTTGGCCCTGGGGAAGGCCTCTCCTAACACTGCATCCCACAACCTTTGTGTTGTAGAAGGAAGAAGTGGACGAGAACGGCGACGCCAACATGGAAGGGGCTCTGATAGCCCGGGACAAGGTCGGGGTGCAGGATTTTGTCCTCCTGGATTCCCACACCAGCGAGGCTGCCTTCCTCAACAACCTTCGGAAGCGCTACCAGGAGAACCTCATCTATGTAAGTGCTGCTGCTGTGGCCTTGTGGCTGCTGGAATGTCCCTGAGGTGGCCTTGTGGCTGCTGGAATGTCCCTGAGGTGGCCTTGTGGCTGCTGGAATGTCCCTGAGGTGGCCTTGCTGCTCAGGTCCAGGAGGAAGAGCTGAGTATCCTCTGTGTATCTAACAAGGTGTGCCCAGCAGAGAGATCACCCAGGAGTAACTGATCTCCTTTTAACTCATGAAAATAAATCTCAGCTTGGCTCTGAGCTGCCTTGCAAAGCTTTCAAGGATGTAAATAGGAAGGGAATGGGAAAGGGAGTGCTGTGGTTGAAGGAAGGCAGGACAAGGTTTGTCTGGGAAGGGCTGAGGGTTTTATTTTGTGTTGTGTTAACTTTAGTAGGAAAAAGGTCCTGGAAGCACCAAGATATCCCAAATCCTTGCACTTAAATTGTCAGGCTCTGAGCTTGCTCTCATGGTTCAGCTTTACTTGAAACCAGGAGGATTTTGGAAGAAGTTTGGCATTGGTTTGGGAAGAGTTCTGGTTGGTTGTTTTGGCTCTCTCACAACAAGCTCTGTATCATCTTTGGCATTTTTCTGTGGATAATGTCCTGAGTTACTCGGCTCCTCCTTTGAGATTTTGGGGTGGAGCAGGTGTCCCTTGGCTCCTCCTTTGGGATTTTGGGGTGGAGCAGGTGTCCCTTGGCTCCTCCTTTGGGATTTTGGGGTGGAGCAGGTGTCCCTTGGCTCCTCCTTTGGGGTTTTGGGGTGGAGCAGGTGTCCCACCGGGCTCTATCTCCCTGCAGACCTACATTGGCTCTCTGCTGGTGTCTGTGAACCCCTACCAGGAGCTGGACATTTACACAGTGACCCAGATGCAGCTTTATCGGGGCGTGAACTTCTTTGAGCTGCCCCCACACCTGTGAGTGTTCCCTTGGGCTCTCTGTGCCTATTCCTACTTTGGGATTTCCCTGTAATGCTGTCCTGGCACCACGGGGGGTGTCCACAGTCTCTAGGTTGGTTTTTACTGCCAGGCCTTGAGTCAGGCTCAGGTTTTAAGCCCAGCTTTCACAATGGGGGTCCCTGCCCATGGCAGGGAAGCTGGAATGAGATGATCTCTACGATTCCTTCCAACCCATTTCAGGATTCTATGACCCTGTCCAATACTTATAAAATTAAACCAGGAGTAAAAACTCTTGGAAACTCTTTGCTATTCCTCCTCCTGTGCCATTCCTAATGGATGTTTCCCCTCCGGATGCCTCCTGTGCCCATCCCAGCTATGCCATAGCTGACAACGCCTACAGGGTGATGTGCAGCGAGTACAACAACCACTTCATCCTCATCTCTGGGGAGAGTGGGGCTGGGAAGACAGAGGCATCCAAGAAGATCCTGCAGTACTATGCAGTCACCTGTCCCACCACGGAGCAGCTCCAGACTGTCCGGGACCGGCTCCTGCTCTCCAACCCTGTCCTCGAGGTGAGAAAACTCAACCCAAAATGCAGAGGGGTTGCAGTTGGTGGCCTCACTGCTCGAGGATTCCCTGCAAATCTGCAGCACTGAGCAAGAATGGCCGATATTGGCTCAGCCTGCGAGAGAATATTTGGGATTTAGTGTAATTTAATGTTCGAAAATTTAAATTTGGGGGTTCAGTTTGAGGATGGCTGAAAGAAATACAAGGAAATACAAGAAGACTGCAGCGTGCAGCAGTTCCTTGGCACCTCAGTTTTAGGTTAGATAAGAAAAATCAGTAATTGGTTTAGCTGAATTCCACTTTAAAGCTATGGAAATGCATCAGTTTGTACTTCTTTAATCCCACTAAATTCAGTGGGGCTTGGCTGAAGCAGCAGATCTTGGTTACTGGAGCTGGGTGTGAGGCTCCCAGTGAGGTGAGAAGTGACTTTCCCCTCTCTGTTTACCCCCCAGGCTTTTGGGAATGCAAAAACCCTGCGCAACGACAACTCCAGCAGATTTGGGAAGTACATGGATATCCAGTTTGATTTTAAGGTGAGAACAAGCTCAGTGGAGCGCTGGGAAAAGGAGCTGGGTCTGAGAAACCTCCCAGGTGCTGAGCAGGCAGCCAGGATCTATTAATTCTTACCCTGCACATTTCTGACCCTGTTTTTACACACCTTGCATTTTGCAGGTAAGGTCACTGGTTATCCATCCTGAAAACTTTCAGCATTGCTGGCAATCCTGGCAGTGCTCCATGGAAAGCTGATAGAGAGTTTTAAAGCTCAAGTTACTTTTACAGGGCAGCAAATCCTTGTACTGTTGCTGGACACTCTTTAAACAAAAGGTGGCAGATAAATGACAGCAGAATTTGACTTTTCCTGAGCCTGTTCCTCATTCCTGAGAATAAAGAAACAGCAATCACAGGGATTATTGGTATTTTTTGGTGTTGATCTGCCTGATTTACTCTGCCAGGGAGCTCCAGTGGGAGGGCACATCCTCAGCTACCTGATTGAAAAATCACGAGTTGTCCACCAAAACCACGGAGAGAGGAATTTCCATATTTTCTACCAGCTGCTGGAAGGGGGAGACAAGGACCTGCTCTGCTGGCTCGGGCTGGAGCGCAACCCCCAGAAGTACACGTACCTCATCCAGGTCAGTGGGAGCCTGAGCTGCTCCGTGCCTCCAGCAGGAATTGTAGGGTTGGAAAATGCAGCTTGGGCAGAAGATGTTCTTACCCTAAAAATAAAGGATAGCTGGAAGATCAAGCCCTGCACAGCTTCAGCTAATTTATGGTGATGCTTTCCACACTCAGGGGTTTGATTTATTTGGGGTTTCAAGTATAAACTGAAAGATTTGATCAAAGGAGCCATGCTCAGGATTAATAACAGTGAAAAAACTCACTGAGGGAGCTGGAAATGAAAGCAGTGTGTCCAGAAATATCTGTGTTTGCTGATAATAAAAGTTCTTTATCAATTAATTGTATTAATTCATCTTACTTTTATTGCCTAGGGTCGATGTGCCAAAGTGTTTTCTATAAATGACAAGAATGACTGGAAAATAGTCCGGAAAGCTTTTTCCATCATTGATTTCACTGAAAAAGATATGGAGGTACTGCTTGCTGAAAGGGACTGAGCAAAGGGATTTCAGGGATTGCTCTTCTCCTGAAGTGGTGGAAGCAGCTGTGCCTGGGAGGGGGTGAAGGGTGGAATAGGACACACTTCAGGACCTGAAGGGGCTGACAAGAAACATGGAGAGGGACTTGGACAATGGTCTGGAGCAGCAGGACAGAGGGGAATGGTTTCCCACTGCCAGAGAGTAGGCTTGGATTAGATATTGGGAAGAAATTGGGTCCCTGGCACAGGTTGTCCAGAGAATCTGTGGCTGCCCCTGGATCCCTGGAAGTGTCCAAGGATGGATGGGGCTTGGAGTAGCCTGGGTTAGTGGAAGGTGTCCCTGCCCTGGCAGGGGTGGAACTAAATGATCTCTAAGTTCCTCTCCACCCCAAACCATTGTGGGATTCCATGATGCTGTGGGATTGAGGGAGTGGGTGGGTGAGGAGCACGATGCCACTGGTGCCGCTGGATTCTTCAGTTCAGCTCCTTCAGCCCAGCCAAAATTCTGTCGATTAACGACAGGAAAGATCAGCAGCACCCCACAGGGCTGTGGGAACCCGTGTTCTAATGGAATATCTCCCATTGTCAGCATCTCTTTGGAATCGTTGCCACTGTCCTGCACCTTGGGAACATCCAGTTTGAAGAGGACAGCAATGGCCACGCCATCATCCGTGACGGCTCCCAGATCAAGTGGATTTCCAAGGTGCCTCTGCCCAGATCGGGCCAGAATTCCCAGTGCTAGGAGGAAAACCTTAACCTTGCTGTGGTTTTCTTAACTGGTACAAAATATTTATTCCCAAGGGCAGAAGGATAACTATAAAAATACCCAGATCTTGTTGTTTTGAGTTTTCTCCCTGAAATTTCCTTATTTCCTCCAAGATGAGGGTGGCTGGGGAGGGGCTGGGGGTTGTGCCCCACTGAGCACACAGTGCTGCTTATTTAAACAGGGACCTGTGGCTGTGCTCTGAGTGCAGATATTTCTCTCCCTGCAGCTCCTGGGTGCTCACCTGTCCATCCTGCAGGAAGCTCTCACCCACAGGAAGATCGAAGCCAGATCCGAGGAGGTACCGGGGAGTTCTGTGTAGTCCCAGATTAGTTCTGTGTAGTCCCAGATTAATCTGGGAGAGTCCCAGCTGGGGGGGTGCACAAGGAGCCAGTTCTGAGTGTAAATCACATCCTTCTGATTGTCTCTCTCCACCTCCACACTCCCTTCTTCCAGCCTGAGACATTAAACTAAAATATATTGGAGTTTTATTGCTGAGCAAGGCAGGAACTGTTAAAAAGCTGGAACAGGGACTTGTATTTGAGCCAAACAATTTCCCCTTGCCCAGTTCACGGTGCTTCCTGGGAAACTGGGCTGCACAAACGGAGAAAAACCACTGGTAAAAACTGCTCTTTGAGCATTTTATATTTTTATTTTAATAATAGAGAAGTAAAATGAGGTCAGAATATTTTCCCACTTTATCTAAATTAGTACCCACCAAAATGTAGTGCCTCAGTGCTGCTGGCAGGTGGGGATACACCAGACTGAAAGAACACTGATGGAAAATAAAGCTGTAGGGAGAGCCAGGGAATTCCAGAGTGGTTTGGGTTGGAAAGGACCTTGAAGACGATCCCATTCCAACCCCCTGCAGGAATAGCTGCAGTCCAGGGGTGGCTGTGCTGTGCTGTAGGACAAGGTGGCTGCTTCTCCAAGCCACAGATGTCACCTGGCTGTGCAGAAGTTTGCTCTGATCCCCCGTGGTGTTTATCCTCTCTGGGATATCTTTATTTCCAGGTGCTCAGCCCTCTGAACGTGGATCTGGCATTCTACGCCCGGGATGCCGTAGCAAAGGCAATTTACGGCAGGACTTTCACTTGGCTGGTCAACAAAATCAATGGCTCCCTTGCCAACAAGGTTGGTGTCTTGTCTGGGGTCCTGAATGCTCCTAAAATGCTGAGCAGTTTCTCCAGAGAGGCCCCACAACCCTCATCACCAAATACCCAGGATGTTGGACAACTGCTGCTGGGACATCCCCCAGCCCTGAGCTGGAAATCCCTTTGGTTACTCTCTGTTAAAGAGTTTTAGCAGTTCTTTACCTGCTTTAAAGTGGCTTCTCCACTGACATTTCTCTCAAAGAGGAAGTTTGACATTCAGGTGAAAGCAGCCACCTGCAGGGAAGGAGCAGTGGCAGAGCAGGGGTGTTTTTGGCAGGACTCGACTAAGAAAACAGTGATTGGCCTGCTGGATATTTATGGCTTTGAAGTGCTGGACACAAACAGGTATGGACTGTTCCTGGGGTTTGGGGTGGCCTGGGGGTACAGGACATTTCTGTGTGAATTTTTGAGTGTGCCCTCAGCCCAGCAAGGTTAAAGGTACAGGGCACTAAAAGCTGGGGACAGGGGTTGGCTGGACCCCAGGAAAAGCTTGTCTGCAAGTCTGGTTTGGGCTGTGGTGCAGCAGTGTGGGAGCAAGGGGTGGGTTGGTTTGTGTGGGAATGGGGGGCTTGGTCCATGTAAAAATGGGGAATTTGGTCCCTGTGGAAATGGGGGTTTGGTCTTTATGGGAATGGGTGGTGTGGTCCATGGAGGAAGAAGCAAAACTGCCCCTAGAACACATCAAACCCGCTGCTCATTTAACCTCCCTGAAGCTTTGAGCAGTTCTGCATTAATTACTGCAACGAGAAGCTGCAGCAGCTGCTGATTGAGATGACCCTGAAAGCAGAGCAGGAGGAGTATGAGCTGGAAGGCATCGAGGTAAATTACATTTTCCCCCTCCCTTTTCCCTTTGAACTGCCATTACACAGAGTGCTTTTGATCACCAATGTGGAAGTCATCCTGCTTTTTTAGTTTGTTATTGTTCCCATGGGAAGTGTAGGATGTGCAGGGGTCTCTTTCTGTAACCCTTTTGAAGTGCAGTTTAGCCCAGGCTTAATTGACATTATTTAAGGAAGAATTAGGACCTTCCCCAATGTCCCTGGAGATTGAGGGATTCCAGCAGTGTAAAACATGGGAAGATGGGCAAGATTTATGTAGAGAACAAGAGGATGGTGTGGGCTGCTGGAAACAGGAGAGCTCTGGAGTGGGATCATGGATCACTGTGCTGTCACCTTTTCCTTCAGTTGATCCTAATTCACAATTTGCTCATTTCAGTGGGATCTGGGGCTGCTATTCAAGTTCCAAAGAACTCTAAAAATTGCGAACAAAAGGTTTTCATCTAAAACTGCTCTTCCTTTTCCCCTTTTCCAGTGGGAACCAATCCCGTATTTTAACAACAAAATCATCTGTGACTTGGTTGAGCAGAAGCACAAAGGAATAATCTCCATCCTGGTAAGAACAGAGTTTGTACTAAATTAAAATGCAGGCCTGTGCCTTGCTCTGATGGTTCCTAATCACATTTTCCCCTCTAATTATGGGATGGATCTGTGTTATCCAAAACATAAGCACAGATTCCTGTAACAAACACCCAGAGGGTGAGGCAGAGGATCTGGTTTTGGGGGGAGTTAAAGGTGGGGGATGTTGTGCTTCCCCTGCAATGGAGCTTTGGGTCTGTGGGACAAAGTTGTCCTGGATGATGTTGAGGAGGGAATGTGGGCTCAGAGCAGCTCTGATCCAGTGCCTGCTGTTCCAGGATGAGGAATGTTTACGGCCTGGGGAAGCGACTGATTTGAGCTTCTTGGAAAAGCTGGAGGAGAAAGTAGGAGACCATGCCCACTTCGTGACGTATGCATTTACCCTCTGTATCCTACCCCAGACCCTTCCCATCCCATATCCATGACAGGGCTGGGGAGGGAACAATCTCTTGTCCCAGAGGGAATCAAACAGCCCATCTGGTGTCTGATGCTGGAAAACTCCACGGGTGGATCCGGGGCACTGGGAGATGTGAGCAGGGCTCTGTCTCTTCACTGCTCTGATGCTGAGTCTGTCATTCCACACCAAAATTAGGGAATTGGGGATTTGGCCCAGGATTTTAGCCCAGGAAGGTTAAATGGCTTTGGCCATAGATGCTTTGGTCTCCATGGACTCCAGGGTAAGCTGAAGATGTTGTGACAAGGAGCCAAGGCTGACGCTGAGGAGGGATATGTAAATATTTACACACATCTTGTTCTGTGTGAGCTTGGAGTACGGAGAGGAGAGAAAATGCTCATGGCTCCTCTCCCCCCAGATGACTGACATTTTGGTTCATACTCCATTTGGAGGAGTTTTGGATCCCATTTTGGTGGCAGCTGAGCGCGTTGGCGCCGGGCTGTGCTGGCAGGTCCCTGCAGAAGGGCTGTGACAAGTCATCAATTCAAAGTCACAGCGCTGAGCTGTCACTGCTCCTGCAGCTCTGAACTCCACCACAGCCAAGTGGAAAATCTGTAGCCAACTTCCTTGTCACCACAATGTTCCTTAATGCTGTTCTGCCTGATTAAAAGCTTTAAATAGAAGTGCTGGAGCTACTTCCACGGGATCTGCTCTTGGAAGGAGCTTTTGATACGCGAACGTGCTGTTGTGACACTCAGCTCTGCTGTTTGTGACTGCTTACAAAGCTGAAACTTCAACTGTGAAGTTGCTCTTTTTTTTCTTCTTTGGTTCTTTTTTTTCCTCCCAGGAATCCTTGCTTTCTAAAATATTCCTGCTAGTCTCAAATATTTGGATTCCTCCTTTGTATTTGGGTTCTTGCTCTAGGGAAAAATGATTGAAATCCTTCCCCCACCCTCCCCGGATTCACTTTGGGGTTGAGGGAGCTTGGTGGTTTTTTCCCCTCCTACATAAGCAGTAAAAATATATTTAAATGGATGTTATGGGTAGAAAACTTAATATTTCTGGAACTGGTGATTGCTGCCAGCTGGCAGAGGGTAGATCCCAGGTATCCCGAGGGGTTTATGGGAGCTGCCAGCAGGGAGGAGATGATGGTTTGATCATGGGCCGTAACTCCGCAGTCAGAGCCACATCAATAGGATCAAACACCACATTTCCAGCTGTCCCCCAGCTGTGGCTCTCCCCAAGCTGAGGGAATCTCTTTGCTGCTCTTCCTCCTGGTGTTTTGTTGGATTTTCCCCCGGCAGGCGCAAGCTGGCGGATCAGAAAACGCGGAAATCCATCGACTTCGTGGATTTCCGCCTCCTCCACTACGCGGGAGAGGTCACCTACTGTGCTGTGGGTGAGTGAGAACGGCCAGGTTGGAGCTCCTGAGCTCCTGAACTGCTTTCCCTTGATGGGAAGAGGAATTACAAAATACCTGCCCTCTGCAGGCACTGACCTGGAAGTCTTAAATGTGGCTGCAGTGACAATTATGAGGATGTGAATCTTCTGATTTTATCTTTTATTTTCTTTCAACTCAATTTTTCTTCAGGATTTCTGGAGAAGAACAATGATCTGCTGTACAGAAACCTGAAGGAGGTAAGCACAAGAAAAGGGATCCCGTTCTGTTACGTCACCTGCTTGGTGCAGAAGATTTATTTACTCTCTGTAGTGAACAAAAACATCCTTTTCTCTTTAGCACTGATCTTTAGGCACCTCTGTGCGTGTTCTCAGGGCTGTGCTGCTCCCAGGAGGAGCAGAGGGGCTGCTCAATAGGGCAGCTTTTATCTCCTCCTGTTTCAGGTGCTGTGCAACTCCAAGAACTACATCATCAGGGATTGTTTCCTCCTGTCAGAACTGGACAACAGGAGGAGACCAGAGACTGTGAGTTCTGTCTTTAGTCTTAATTCTAAATATCAACTCAGCTCCCCAGGCCTTGGTTTAATCACCAATCCCTTCCTCAGTCCTGATGGCCATAAACTAAAACACAAGTTCCACCTCAGCCTGAGGAAGAGCTTTCCATGGAGGGTGGCAGAGCCCTGGGACTCTTGGAGTCATTCCAAATCCACCTGGACACATTCCTGTGTCACCTGCTTTGGGTGACCCTGCCTTGGTAGAGGGTGGGACCGGGTGATCTCCAGAGGACCCTTCCCACCCTATAAACTGTGGGGTTCTGGGATTCCTGCACTGGATGTTTTTGCTGCCACCCACGCCCTGAGAGCTCCCTGGCAGAGGAACAGTGGTGCTGCTGAGACAGCAGCCAGCAAAGTGACATCCCACAGCACATCCCCCTGGAGCAGGGAGTGCTGAAGGGCTGCCTGGTGTGTCCAGGCCAGGACTCAAATGCTCCAGCTCAAAAACAACCACGCTCCAAAACTCCAGGCTACCAATGCACCATCAGCTTTTGGTGCCAGGTTTAAGCTGGATGCTGGGAGTTGATTTCACTTCCTGCAGGGAGGAGTTGCAGAGCTCAGGAAGTCCTTTTGATGCTGTCCTTAGGTTGCAACCCAGTTCAAGAACAGTCTGACGAGTCTGATCGAAATCCTGATGTCCAAGGAGCCCTCGTACATCCGCTGCATCAAACCCAATGAGAACAAGGAGCCTGGTAAGGCTGGGGCTGAAGGCTCTGCTGAGTCTGAGGAACAGACAGAGGGATTTGTTTGGGGCAGGCTGTGTACGTTGTGTACATGTTTGTGTTTATATAGAAATAGCCTGGTTAAGCTGGCAGCAAATGTGTCTTGTGGGTAACTGGGGATTTGGTGCCTTCCCCATTTCCCCCAACACGTGGGCACGTGGGTGAGCTTCCCCAGACAGAACTGACCAGTGAAGGTGTGCTCTTGCTCCAGGGAAGTTTGATGATTTCCTGATCCGACACCAGGTGAAGTACCTGGGGCTGATGGAGCACCTGCGGGTGAGACGGGCCGGCTTCGCGTACCGGCGCAAGTACGAGCTCTTCCTGCAAAGGTGAGGGAGCTGCTTCCCCTCTGGCCAGGTAATCCTGCCCTCCTGAGGGCTGCAAAACTCGAGTCCCAGTAGTGGGAGCTGCCAGCAGAACCCCTTCTGCTTCAAAAACACCCTTTGTGTTTTGTCTGCATCATTTTGATCTGTGCTGGCATCTTCTGCCTTGAGTAAAGCAGGAGGAATTTGAGGGACAGTTTCAGGAAGGGGTTCCTCAAACTTCAGGTTGTTTGCATTGATGTCCTGCTGATCTTTCAGGTACAAAAGTCTCTGTCCAGCTACCTGGCCACACTGGCACGGGCCAGCAGCAGAGGGTGTGGAGAGACTCATCAAACACATTGGTTACAAGCCTGAGGAATACAAATTAGGAAGGTGAATACCTTGCTCTGGCTGCTCAGTGTTTGCTGTCCTGCATCCTCTGTCCTGCCTGTGACAGGAGCAAGGAGAAAACCCCCAAATGGACAAATTCCCTCACCATTTTTACCTTTTTCCGTGGGGGCTTGAGTCCAACCTCATTTTTTCCATCTCTGGGTTAGAGCTCTGGCTTCTCCCGCTTCCCTGAGCAGCCCAAGGTGGCTCAGGCTTGGGTGGTATTACACCCACCCAAGCTCAGTGGGGGCTCTGAGCCTGCTCAGGGCAGCTGGAAGGATGGCTCACCATGGATAACTTGCTCCTGGTCTCTTTCTCAGAACCAAAATATTCATCCGTTTCCCAAAGACCCTGTTTGCCACGGAAGATGCCTTTGAGTACAGAAAGCACCTGCTGAGTAAGGTTCCAGTTCCCTTGGTCTGGGACTTTGTTCCTGGCTCTGGGTTGGGTGGGGCTTGGAGCATCCTGGGTTGGTGAAGGTGTCCCAGCCCATGGCAGGGGGTGAAATGGGATGGGCTTTAAGGTCTCTCCTTGCATAGCTCTCAGAATCCATGGAAATCTCAGTGAAGTTGCTCCAGGCTGGGGGGAAATCCCTGCCTGAGTCGTGGAAATGTGGCTCCTTTGGAGCTCCTCGGTCCTATGAGGACCTGCCACCAAGTGCCTTTCCCTGAGGATTGGGATCTCTTCTGCTCATCCTAGGGATACCTGTTCCTTGAAAAGCACTGCTGAAGGGCCTGGTTCCTACAGGGGCTGCTTCTGGTGCCAGTGGTGTTGTGGCTGCTCTGTTCCCTGTGCCCTGGAGTGCAGGAACTCGGCTCCTCACCACCCCAACCCTGCAGCTGCCAGTGGTGTCTCTGCCTTCTTTTCAGTTTCAAGACTCCAGGCCAAATATAAAGGATTCCTCGGGAAAAGAGAGTACCAGAAGAAGAGGAAAGCAGGTACAGGCTCTGGATTGGGGGATTCTCTTAGGGCTGGGCTTTCCCCAGGAGCTGGAGCCTTGGGAAGTCCCGAATTTGTGGTGCTGTGGGCAGGGACAGCAGGAGGCAGAGCTGGGACAAGGCCTGGCCTTGATGCTGAGCCCCACAGCGCAGGTGGAACGGAGAATTAAACGTTCCTGACCTGCTGTTCCCACCAGCTGATTTTGTAGAGCTGCTAAAATAACCAGTTTTAACTTCTGCTGGGTGAATGTGAAGGCCCAGGACTGGTTCCCTCTTGCAGCAATCAAGCTGGAGGCCTGTTGGAGAGGAGCCCTGGCACGGAGGGCGGCCAAGAAGAGGACGTGGGCAGTGCAGACCATCAGGAAGTAACTGTCCCAACCATGTTTCCCAACCACAGAATCCCAGAATGGTTTGGGTTGGAAGGGATCTTAAAGCCCATCCAGTCCCACCCCTTGCCAAGGGGACACCTCACACTAGCCCAGGCTGCTCCAAGCCCCGTCCAGACTGGCCTTGGACACTTCCAGGGATCCAGGGGCGGCCACAGCTTCTCCCTGTGCTGGGGCCTCACCCTTACAGGGAGGAATTTCCTCCTAATTTTTCTCATGCCTCTCCATTCCCTTCATCCTCCCTCTCCACTCCCCTTTACCCAGCTCCTGAGGTAGAGCTGATTCCTTCTGAACTCCAAAGCGCTGTGGTTTGGCCAACAGAACTTGCTAAAAACCTATTAATATTTAAAATATTCTAAAGCTTGGGATTTCCATGGCTGACCCTCAGTGCACCTGTGATCCCTAGCCTGCTGTGTTCACTGTCCCTCCCCTCATTTCCACGGATTTCTGGAAGTCATGGAATATTTTCTGTAGGTTCATAAACGGCTTCATCAATCGGAAGAAACCCCTTTGCCCAGAGAACAGGGACTTTGTGAGGCTTTCACAGTACTACTACCTGATGAAGCTCCGAGACCACCTCCCAAAAAACGTCTTGGACCAGAGCTGGCTGCAGCCCCCCTCGATCCTGGAAGAGGTGAGGGTTTCTGGGGGCTTTGGGGAGGTGGAGGTGGCCCCTGTTGGGTGGCCATGTGTGTGCACATTCTGGGTGGGAGAAAATGATCTGCTGCTGGCTCATCCTGTGTTCAGAGCCTTTGGAAAACCCCAGGATCTGCTGTGTTTGGGAATGGGAGGAATAGCACAGTGGATGGTCTTTCCAAGAGAAATGAGGAAGCTCCCTGTTGGTTTAAGCAATAAAAGGGGGAAATGTGCTGACAGAAATGTGAACTGACGAGCCCTGATAAAGACAAAATTAATCCCTCGGGGTTTTAGGCTCATGGCACAGACAGAGCTGTTTGCACAACTTCCCTACTTTATTTTTTCCTGGGTTTTTTATTGCAGACATCCGAGATGCTCCGGAAAATCTGCATGAGGAACCTGGTGAGGAAATACTGCCGAGGGCTCACTGCCGAGAGGAAAGTGCAGGTAACCAACCCCTGGAATGCAAATGTGGGAGTTCAGTGTGATCTCTGCTCCCTGAGGATCACCTGGGACACAGGCAGCACCTTCTCATCCTGCTGCTCCCATCCGTCCCTCAGGGATAAGAGCAAACTTCTGCTGCTAGGGATTTCCTCCAGTGTCCCTCATAATGGACAGAGCAGACAGGTGGGGCTTAATTCATGGCATGAAATCTGCTCTCCATATAATTGGAAAAGATCCATAAATACCAAAAATCTGTAGGGTTTTCCCTGCTGCCCCTTCACTTGGTGTAACACAGGGATAACCCAAAGCAACGCAGCACAATTCCAAGATTCCATGAGTCAGGAGGGCAGTGCGTGAGCAGGAGGGTGCTGTGGAATAGCAGTGTTCCCGCTGATGTTCCCAGGGGAGGAATTCTGAGGGTAAAGGCTGTTCCTTCTCCCATCAGCTGCAGCAGAAGGTGGTGACCAGCGCTGTTTTCAGCGGGAAGAAGGAAGGGTACCTGGAGAGCCTCAGCCAGCCCTTCCTGGAGACGCGCCTGAGTGAGTCCAGCAAACCCCTGGAGGCCTCAGCCACGTGCTCCTGGCTCTGTAAATTCCTGCTTGACCAAACAGACTCTTTTCCAAGAGAAATCCCCTCCTGGCAGAGGCAGCATCACCTGCCATTGCAGTTCCTCCCTGTCACACAGAGTGATGTGAACGCAGCGATGGATCTGCTGGATTGTTCTCAAACTGGGAGTACTGGGATCCCTCTGGGACAGAAAGCCATGAACCTGAGCAGAATTCCCTGGGGGCTGGGGTGGACCAGGGTCTGAACAAAGAGCAGGCTCAAGAACAGGCAGAAACTCATGGTGTGAATTAAGTTGTCGGGCAGGAAAAGTCACCAAAATTTGGGATGAAGATGGCTAAAACAGCTCTCTGGGGTTTGCTGGGGGCTGGGGAGTCTGGCTGGGGCTGGGGCTCTGGCACCCACTGTCTTTTTCTGGTTTGCTCCTCAGAAGAGAACGACCTAAACCCCAAAGTGCTGCAGCTCATCCGTGGGGAGATCATCAAGGTAAGGGAAAGGACAGAACTCCTGGAATTCCCTTCACTGGAGTCCTAAAGCTGCTTGCTCACACAGGGACTGATGAAGAGCCACCATTTCCTCGCTTTTAAATTTGAGACAGGTCTCAAAATACACCTAATTCAAAGTTATTTAAGATTCCTTTTAAAGAAAGCTTAAAGAACGTTTCTAGCCCTGTCCAGGGCAGGGGCAGAGCTGGAGTGTCCCTGCACTTCCCATGGTTATGGCATAGAGGACACAGGGGTTTCCATCATTCCCAGGATTCTGCCTCCTGAATTTCCCAGTGTAGAGAATCCAGATCCTTGTGAGCTGGGACCTGGAAAACTGCCAGGAACTGTCTGGAAAACAGAACAGGCAGAGCTGCTCCTCGCTGAGCTGCTTCCAGTCAGGAAAATCCAAACCCCTGGAGCAGGAGGTTGCAGTAGTGGAAATGCTGATTCCAACTCGTTGTTTTCAGTATGTGACCCCCGTGATAAAATATGACAGGAACGGGTTCAAGGCGCGGGAGCGGCTCCTGGTGCTGACCCAGAGCTCGGCCTACGTGGTGGAGATGGCCAAGATCAAACAGAAAATCGAGTATTCCACACTGAAAGGTACCAATGGGAATCATTGTCCAAGGCTGGATGGGACTAGGAGCAAGCTGGGTTGGTGGAAGGTGTCCCTGCCCATGGGACAGGTGGAATGGGATCATCCTTAACGTTCCTTCCAACCCAAACCATTCCATGGTGATTCTGTGAGTTGTTGTGGGGCTTCCTGTCCTGCCAGGCATCCTTTGGGAAGGCTGACATTCTGAAACTTTGTCTTGCAAAGGCAATTGAACGATCTATGCCTCTTATCCTGGGGGCTGGACAAAGCCTTGAAGGATGATTTTATGAGTAAGAGTTCCTTGAAATGTTTAAATGCAGGAGGACATCACTTTCTACTGACGCAGAGGGGAGAAAAAATAACCCAAACCTTTCCTACACTGGTTTGTGGGTATTTTTTAATCATGGCACTGTTGGAACTACAGTTCAGGAGTAGAATGGATCCTTCTCCCTCTACTGTTACCAAAACCAAGGCACCAGGGAAAGGTTTGCAGCAAACAGCTCGTGCAGGGGTTTAAATCACCACTGGTGGAATTGTGCTGTGGACAATGGGTGACATAAAGGGACCTTCAGAAGATACTTTGAAAGTTCAGATTAATTAATCAAAGTAGGAACTTTGTGTGTTTTGCTCTAAGAATGGGAATATTCTTCACTCTTGGGAAGGACAGAGCCCTCCTTCAGGAATGTCGTTTCCCCACGTGGGGCTGGAGTTGCTTCTCCTGGGGGAAGGTGTGGTGTGGAGCTGGGTTTGGTAGGTTTTCCTCTAATTTTGGGGTTCTTTTGAAGGGATCTCCACCAGTAACCTGAGTGATGGGATCGTGGTCATTCATGTTCCTGAGGACAACAAGCAGAAGGTGGGAAATTGGGCTGATGCTTCCAATATCATCCTATAAACTCCTGGAATGACACAATTCCTGATGTTTATTCAGTGTGTAATCAGCCAGGCCTTTACATTCTTGTCTCAACATGAAAACTTTCCCTTGGAATCCCAACCTGCCAGGGAGTGGTGGAGAATGAGAAGATCCCCCCTGAGCCTCCTTTTCTCCAGGCTGAGCCCCACCAGCTCTCAGCTGCTCCTGGTGTGGCTGATTCTCCACATCGTTCCCAGCTCCATCCCCTTCTCTGAACATGCTCCTGCCTTTTTTTAGACCAAATAAATCCTAAATAATCCCTGGAGAGGGTGTTTAAACTGGTCACTTCTGCATGGTAGTCACTGCTCTGGCATTCCAAAGGAGTTTCTCTGCACCATCACGTGCTGGGGTGATGCCAGCTGACTTTGTCCCTCTTTTTTTGTTGCCAGGGAGATGTGATACTGCAGTGTGAGCACGTCTTTGAGACAGTGACCAAGCTCTGCATATTGGCCAACAAGCAAAGCGTCGTTAAAGTGGTGAAGGGAAGGTAAGGAAGCTGTGGAGGTGGATGGGTAGCACTGGGCAGGCTCAGTTTTATGGGAAAACCTTTTAGGCCTGGACTGGGTCAAGACTGTTGACATCAACCCAGCAGACAGTGCCCAAAGCTGGACAGGTCTGGTGCAGCAGCACCTCTGTTTTAGTGACTTCCAGAGGTACAGGGAGATGAGATGGGATGCACTGAGAGAAAATGTATTAAAAATCATTCCAACCTTTTTCCCAGGCTTTTTCCAGGCTAATGAACCCTTGCTAAGGGTGCTGCTCTGCTCTGACAGCTGCCCATGCCCTACCTACTAAACCAAACTTATTTCTAGGTGACTGTACTGCAAACACACTTTTTATTTTCAGTTTTCTGATGTGACCTGGGCATGAGGTCATGGCCTTAGTGGTTCCACAGGGGATCCCATTAGCCTCAGGAAAGCCAGCTGGGAAGCTATGGGTCACCTCAGGACAAACACTCCAGAAGGACAAACAATCCCAGAAGGATTGAGGAAGCCCGAAATGTGATTCCTCCCAGTCCCAGCCCAGAGCTCCTGGCAGGTGGATGCAGTCCATATCTCCAACCTCTCCAGGAATTGGAGCTGGCAGGTGAAACCTGCACTCCTGCTCCAGCTTTTCAGCCTGGCCTTTGTGTTTCAGCTCTAATTAGATTTGGTGTGCTCAGTGCTTTCCTCCAGGTCAGATCTGCTTAGCTTCCAGTGCTTAATTGCACCAGGAACACTCAAAAGCCCGGGCTGGGCAGCCTCATTCCATCAACCCCTTGGGCTCGCTGGCATAATGCAATTGTTTAGGAAATTCACCTAAGCTGGAGGCTCTGATCTGCTCCTCTAACGAGATTTGCCCAGGCAACAGAGGTAAAGGGGGTTTAGAGTAAAGCCTCTTGTGGGGAGAGCTCTCCAGTGGGGTTCTGTGCTTCCAGCCTCCGGTTCCGCGTCGGCTCCGGGAAGGAGGGGACCATGGTGTTCACTGTGGGGCCAGAGCCTCAGGTCTTCAAGGACAAAACTGGACAGCTCACAGTGGTAAGGCCTCAGCGGAGCTCTGGGAGACACCTGGGGATTCCTCCTTTGGATCTCCACCCTTCCAGGAGTCCAGGAGTCCCCTCCCAAAGCAGGGAATGACCACCCTGTCAGTGTCACCTGCATGAGGTGATCCACGACAGTGCTGGGAGCTGCAGCTCCAGGGGCTGTGCAGGGGCTGGCCCAGGGATGGGGGAGCAAGGCTGCTGTGGGCACTTAGAGAATTTACTCTGACCCAAACTCAATGTGCACCAGCAAAACGAGGCCTCAGGGGAGGTTTTCCACCTCTCGTTGCCTCCCTCAACCAAATTATGCCTGAAATGGGTTGGGAGTGGAGGGAAGGCACTTCTTGTCACTCTCTGAGGAGCTGACAGCTCCAAGAATTCCAGGTGGAGTTCTCCATCCTGCAGATGAGATGGAGGGAATTTCTCTATGGGCAATAGAAACTCCACCACCACCTCTCTTCTCAGGCACCTTGAGGATTCCTGATTTAATGGCTCCTTCCTTTTCTCCTCCCAGGTGTCAACCCCAAGAAAGTCTTGATGAGAACCAGTTCCTGTTCCCTTGGCTGGGAACAGAAAGGAGCCTGCAGGATGAGACCAGCCCTCACATCTCCCCTGGAATCCTTGATGCCACAGGGCTGCTGTGATTTGAGAGTTTGTTTGCATCTTTTAGGCTCTTTTTTTTTACAGCTCAAAACTATTTAACTATAGATAAATAAAATCCCTGATGTTGTTGTAACGTTCCCAGAAGGAGACGCTCGTTACATGGTCACAGGGACATTTATCCCCAAAGTTCCAAGGTAAAATCTCCATCTCTGAGAGGTCAGGAAGGATTAGGACAGAAGCCAAAAGGTTTCTCCAGCTGTCCTTGGGGTCACTACTGGGGAGCACTGCAAGAAGTGCAGAGCAGTGTTAACCCTGGTCTAAAAACAACAGAATCCCAACAGCTGGGACCCCTCCCACAGGGAGGGCTGGGAGGTCAAACTGACATTAATTAGGATGGAGATCTGATATTTTATCCCAAAAGTTCCTTCAGCCACACAGCCCATGAGGACATCAAGCTCCAAGCAAGTAATAAAGTGACTCGCATGTAAATATGAAATATCTTCTAATTTATTGTGTTATATTAAAAAAACAACAGTACATATTGCAAACATCAACCATACACTGAAATCCAGCTGAAGCTTGTTCTGTGCAGAAGTCTGGACAGGTGGGAATGATTGTACAGAACAGGAATTTGCTGTTGTCCATGAAACAATTCCATTAAGACTGAAAGGTTCTACCTACGCTTTGCTCTAAGGTAGGATGGGAGCTTGGAGCCTTGCCCAAGTGCTGTGGCTCAGGGCATCCAAACCTGCCTCGGGGGAGTGCAGGAGCAGCTGCTTTGGTGCTACAGGGAGAGAGGTGGGAAGGGGGCAGCAGGGCTGGTCCCTGTCCCCTCCTCGTGCAGCCCCACCCGTGTCAGGAGCTGGGAGGGGACAAAATCCCATCCTCAGGGGGACTTTGCTCAGCTGCCCTGGGCTGTGCTGTCACTGCTGGTGCTGGAGAATGGAAGCAGCCAGCTCTGCTCTCCCTGGCACTGGGAGGCAGGGAAGGATAATCTGAAGAGCTGCTTGTGCCCAGGACACCTGCCCTGAGCCCCAGCTGCACCTGAGAGCTCAGAGTAAAACCACTTAGAGTAACGAGGCTGAGGACTGAGAGCATTTGTGCAAGGGCATGAGCAGGGTGTGCCCAGAGCAAGGACAGGGGCAGCAGGTAAAGGACAGTCCCCAGGACAGCACAGCTTGGCTGCACCCCGAGGATGAGCTCAGGAGTGACTTAAGGCAGAGTCTGCCCAAAAATGCAGGAACAAAACTGAAATTGAAACTTTAACTCTCCTGGAGTGACTTTGCTAAACCAACAGCTCTACAAAGCACTGTACAAAGATTAAAAACAGCCCTCCCCTGTTTTTTAAGAACTTAGTTTGCATAACCTGAAAGGGAAAAGCCTGAAGCCAGTTAAGGATCTATTTACAGAGAAGTTAATCACATAGCTGTGACCTGTCAGGGGCTTAGGACTGGTGTCACCTCCTGGGGCTGAAGCTGCTCTGCTCCACAGGACTGGATTTGGTCTGGGCTCTGCAGGTCAGCACAGCCAGGGGGTGAGCTGCCCCGAGCCTGCTGGAGAGCAGCTCCCAGCTGCAGTGAGCAGGGTTTGCTGCAGGACTGGTGCTGGTCCCTGTTCACCCTCTGCTGAGACATGGCCAAGGGCAGCAGGGCTGTTGCAGATGCTGAAATGCCCAGTAACAGCCCAGTAATCACCAGTAAGTGTCAAAGTACACAGTGCTGGAGATACAGCAATCCAGGACTTCCCTGCCTCACTGACTTCCCTGCCTCACCCTCAGCTTATCCCAGCCCTGAGGGGAGAGACACTGGCTCCTTCCCCCTCTGCTCCAGCCCCAGAAGAGGCTGCAAACAGATTTAAGTACAACACAAACTGGAAGCCCTGAGGTGTCAGGACAGAGCTGAAGCTGCTGAGCCCCAGGGAGACTGTGGAGCTCTCAGCAGCTGCAGAAGAAAGAGGAGAGAAGTATGACACCCCCACCTGCCACAGCCTGCAGCTGCCTGCAAGCTGGAGAAGTCTTTGGTTACTAGAAAGATGACCTCAGATTAAACTGGAAATCTTTGAGCTTTACTTGATGATCCAAAACTGTACAGCCACTTCCTGGTGTGTTTCAGCCTCTACCAACGAGCTCTGTGGAACAGAAGAACGTGGCTGGTGCTGCTGCAGCACCTTTGGTTTTGACACTGTTCCCATGTCCTTAGCGGCCCTGAGCCAGGAGCAGGGATCCCTGGAGCAGGAACACAGAGCTGCTGCTCCAGAGGAGTGTGGCTGTTAAAGCCAGTGCTAAATATTCCAGAGAAAGGGTCAAAAGAAACTCTAGCCCAGGGCAAAGTGCTCCGGTGTCACCCATGGGTGCTGCTGCAGTGCAAGTTTAACACTTCCTACCTCAGGTTTCTCTCCCTCCCAGGACTGGTGACCTGAACTGTCACAGCTGTGGCTCTGCTGCCAGCCCTATGGAATGACATCCCACCTCCCACCACTGCTGTCACTTGACTCCACAACAGGCAACAGGAGACAAGGAGGTAGATAAAATATTCATTGACAAGAGAAAAGCACTCGTAGAAAACCACAGTGCAGTGGCCTTCTCCACGCTCTGCCCTTCCACACACAGCTGCCATGGCTGGGAAGACTTGGAATAACCTCAGGATAAAGTCAAACAGGGAATATCTGCCTCTGGGTCACTGCCTGCTTCTGTTTCCCCTTGCTCAGAGCAAGGCAACGCTCCTGGATCAGTTCCAGAACCAGGGCTGCTGCCTCCCACCAACACCCTCCAGCATGGGAGGATTGAACCTGCTGTGACTCCTGGTACCTGGGAGCTGCTGGAAACCAAGCCCCCAGCTGAGACCCAGGCTCAGGCAGAAGCTCTAAGCACTGACCAGTACCAACACCGCTCCTAGGGAAAGGAACCATGGACAATTTGCTCCTGATTCTCCTCCTTTGGGAGGAATTTTAACCTTGAACCGTAGGGATAAAACAGGGGTGGGTGTCCCCAGCTCAGTGCTGCAGAAGCTCCAGTGAACCCCTGGAGGAGCAGATCCTGGGAGCTGTGGGGAACCCAAGGGAGCAGCCCCTGCTCCCTCCCACTGCTCTGAGGGGCCTGTCTGCCCCCAGCACTCCAGGAATCTCATCAGTCTGTGCCATTTGTTCATTGGGGAGTCACCCAAGGCACTCCCAAGCTCTCTCCCAGTAGCCAGGGAGCTGTGCAGCATCTCTGGGTCCAGGTCCCTGCCTTTCCCCCCAGCCCAGGAGGGTCAGGGAGTGCCTGGAGGGAAGGAGGGTGGCTGGCTAACCTTTCCTTTGTTGTTTTGGTTTTAAAGTGCAGGATCATTACCAAAGCCACAGGAAGCCAGACCTCCTCCTCTCCAGCACAAAACAGTAACAAGAGTGCTAAAAATTCCGGGCACTTCTCCAGCTGCTCAACAGGCCCTTCCAGGCTGCCCAGTAACCTCACTGATCCTCGCCCTACAACTACCGCATTTAAATACCCCAAATAACCTAAAGTTTGTTACAAAATCACAATTTACAGACTGTGCTGGACAGGACTTGCACTGCCTGGTCCTGCTGCAGGGCAGCCCCTTCCCCAGAGCTGCAGGGGTCCCCAGGCTCACTGGTGCAGGTGGGCCCTGTCGTCCGGGCGCTTGATGTGGATCCTCCGCACGCGCTCGATGCGCTCCCGCTCCTCGTCCTCCTCCAGGTGGTGGGAACGCCCTGCAGCCCCTCCTGTGGCTTCCAGGAGGGCATTGTCCGGCCCCCTCCCATCCTGGGATTCGTACAGCAGAATGTTCAGGGTCTCCTCGTAAATTCGGGCTTCTGGGAACTCCACCTGGCAGGCAGGGAAGAGAAGGTCACTCACTGCAGGCACCAGGAAACCTCGGTTTGGATTCCTGATACCCGGTGTTGCAATTCCTTAATTGCATCCCAGCCACGGAAATCCTTTCAGGCACAATCCTTTCTATTCCATTTCTTGCTTCCAGCTTTTGAGACCAACAACCAGTTGCGTTTTTACCAAAACCAGGAAGATCTCTGCTGGGAAAGGGAAGAATACAGGGAAAGTGTGTGATCCATTGCTGGATCCCTCCTTACATGGGGGTGCAGAACTACGGAATAGTTTGGGTTGGGAGGGACCTTGAAGATCATTTAGCTCCAACCCTAGATCATCTACTTGTAACTTCCCAAACCCAAAAGTGGTTAAATGCACAAGTTTGTCTGAAGATAGAGCTGAACTGAACATTATGGAGTATCACAATACATTATGGAATACCACAGGGCTTTATAGAATATCCCAGTGCTACCTGCCCTGTTGGTCTGCTTTTTCTCTGTGGCATAAACGATGGAGGTGCAGCAGACCTCAGCGATCTTGCGGCCCTGCCCGTAGAAGGACCAGCAGCAGATCTCATCCCCAATGACATCCTTGATGAACAGCACCCTCCCGTTGAACCTCAGGGACAGCTTGTCAAAGAGCTCAATGTTCTTCAGCATGTTGTCATCGGAGTTGCTGTGGGAATGGAGGCAGCAGCAGGAGTTAACAGAGCACATGGAAAGAGTGGGAGCAGTGAGAATTGACAGCCCTGAGATCCCAGATTCCTGTGTCACAGTGTCCCAGCGTGGTTTGGGTTGGAGGGCCCTTAAAGCCCATCCAGTGACACCCTTTGCCATTGGCAGGGACACCTTCCACTAGCCCAGGTTGCTCCAAGCCCCATCAAACCTGGCCTTGGACGCTTCCAGGGATGGGGCAAACCCAAGAAATTAATTCTTATTATTTCACTACTACAGGCAGGAAAACCTGAAGCGGCAGCAATACAACAGCAACAGCCCCATGAACAACTGTCCAAGGCCATTTCACCCAGGTGCAAGATCCTGTCAGCAAAACCAATCCATTCCTGAGCTCAGCACCCTGGATGGGCACCGGTATGTCATGAAACTTAAAAGGGAATAAGGGGAAAAAAGACAAGGCCCCAAATTTGATTTTTTCACCACTCACTGAGCTCCCTGTGTTTAACCACCACACTGCAATCCATGGGAATGCAGACAGCACTTGGCCAGGAGCCTCTGCCAGCTCCACCTAAGGATGAGAGGAACTCCTCTGGCACAGAAATAGCACAGACTCAGCCCTCCATGGATGGCAGCAGACTCCCTTCTGACTCCAGTTTGAAATTAATTGAGAAAAAACGGAGTGACTGCCAACACCAATCTGTCATCAGGTCTGGGGAAAGAGAAGGAAACTTTTATAGTGGATTTTAGTCTATGAAAAGCTTCCAACAATTCCAGATGAAGTAACTTACCTGGTGTAGGAATATTTGTTGTTGCTTCTGTTATAGAGAAGCTTCACAGCTGGCTGTAAGAAACAAAGCACAGATGAGTTCCAGGGAGCAGAGCCAGAGCTGGAACCTCAGCTCAGCCCAAGGCCCCACTGAGAAGCTGGAAGCACAAATTCCCAGTGGGATTTTGGTGGTGTTACTGCTGCTGCTGTAAACCTGTGATGCACAGGTTGGCAATGGGGCTGCAGTCCCTCTCAGGAGTCTCCTCTGGGACTGGATCCTCATCTATTCTTATCTTCCCTCTGTCTTATCAGTACCCCCTGCCATGGGCAGGGACTTCTTCCACTATCCCAGGCTGCTCCAAACCCTGTCCAACCTGGCCTGGGACACTTCCAGGGATCCAGGGGCAGCCACAGCTTCTCTGGGCAACCTGAGAAAGAGCCTCACCACCCTCACAGGGAAAGATTATTTCCTAATATCCCATCTAACCCTGCCCTCCTTTAGCTTAAAGGCATCACCCCTTATCCTGTCACTCTATCCCTTGTCCAGCTCTTCTCTCTCTCTCGGAGCCCCTTTAGGCACTGGAAGGAAGGAGCTCTGACATCTCCCCAAAGCTTTCTCCTATCCAGGCTGGACACCCCCAGCTCTCCCCATGGCACATCCCAGTCCCTCTCACCTTGTTGGAGGTTGCAATCAGCTTCTGCTCCTCCTTGGAGGAGGTGATCACTGGGACCTTGCAGAAGGGCTCGTAGGCGTCCTTGTTCTGTAGGAATGAGAACCAAACAGCAGCTGAGTGACAACAGTTCCCAGGGCACACCCACATTTCCTGGGAATGATCTCTGCTGAGGGGTCAGTGTCCAGTCTGTCCTTGTGCTGGTTTCTGGGCTGTGCCTGGCCAGGCACCACTCTTCTGGGAGGACCTGAGGTGTCCATTCCTGCTCTCCACCACTGACTGTCCTATGCCCAGTTAAACAGCAGGATCTGGAATGGGGCTTCTCAGGCAGGACATCAGTGACAGTGGCCTCAACCCCAAGATGGGAATCTCAGACCATAACAAAGAACACAACAGGACTCCCAGCAACTCTGGCAAGAAGCTGGTTTTCCTAGATATGACCAGATTCCAGCAGATGGCAACACAAACTATTCCAATTTCCATCCCAGCCTCCAAAATCACCTCATTAAGACCAGGGAGAAAATCCTGCTCTGCACAGATGTTGCTGCCCACCCCCAGCTGCCCCTGGTGCCCCCGTGCCCACCTGCAGGGCTGCCTGGCATTCATCCACCAGCCCCTGCACCAGGTAGTACTTGGCCTCAGCCAGCAGCTCCTCGATCTCCCGGCGGCTCTCGGGGAGCGGCACGGCTCCGTCCCGCAGGTAGTTCAGGATTGTCCCAAAGTGCTTCCCACAGCGGTCGATCAGGATCCAGCCTGGGGACACAGAAAGGTCACAGTGAGGACAAGCTGAGATGAATGTGGCAAAAGGCCTTAACAGAGCAAAGTGGTGAAGGACATGATGGAACTGGGAGCGTGAGGACGGAACAGGAAATGTGAGCAGAGAGTGCGGCTCAGCTGGAGCTTAGGACCATGGTGGGAAGAAAATCATGGAATGGTTTGGGTTGGAAAGGAAATTCAAGATCATACAATCCCACCCCTGCCATAGGCAGGGACACCTTCCACTAGCCAAGGTTGCTCCAAGCCCCATCCAACCTGGCCTTGGACACTTCCAGGGATCCAGGGGCAGCCACAGTTTCTCTGGGCACCCTGTGCCAGGGCCTCACACCCTCACAGGGAAGGATTTCTCCCCGATATCCCATCTAACCCTGCCCTCTGGCAGTGAGAAGCCATCCCCTCTTGTCTTGTCCCTCCATGCCCTTGTCCAAAGTCCCTCTTCCAGCTCTCCTGGAGTCCCTCTAGGCACTGCAAAGTGCTCCAAGGTCTCCCTGGAGCCTTCTTTTCTCCAGGGAAGAAAAGAGCTCCAACCAAAGCTGTGGATGCAGGATCCACATTTCACCTCTTTCTGCTGGAATCAGGCTGGACCCTGGAAAAGTCAGGCAGTGCTGAGGCTGGAGCTTCCCTGAGTGAACAGATGGCCACTCTCACAGGCTGAGACTCAGGAATGCAGCGAGGAAACGCTTGTGGGGAAGGAGTCATATTTTGGACAAATAAGGAAAGTAGGTTAAAGCAGCCCCTGTGTGTTCTGCATGAAAGGAATTACAAGGAAAAGTCTGAACATTTGGTTCAATCTGGAAAGGGAACACAGCCCTTTCTGAGGGAAAAGGAGACACTCTGCAGCAGCTCACTCCAGGATTCCCAGCTCCCTCATTCCTGCTGTCCACAGACAACACAAAGTGTGGTCCAAGTGTGATTTTACAGGCTGGAACAACAAACTGGAGACAGAAATCATGGAACAAAGGCCTGATCCAGGCTAATGGTTAATCCAGCTAGAGCAGAAAAAAAACCCATTTAGTAGTG